TAACAGTGAGAGAAACGGCCCCGTGTTTCGATTTTTCATGGATTTAGGCGATGCAGGTAGGATTCTACATAAACAAACGGTTGGTTTTAGTGGTTATTTGGTCAAATTTATTTCTATCTGGAGGTGACCGGCATTCTGACTGAGATTTTGTTCTTAGTTACTTATGTGAAACGACTGAATATTCCGAGTGGCGTTGTGGGAGCTTGTCGTCTCGATTTAGCATATGAACATTTCAAGGTAATCCCAGCTTGTACTGCCACATCAGGGATTTATTGATACTTTAATTATGTTTTTGAGATTTTTTTTTTATTAGTAATTTCTGTGGCATGCTATGATGATCTTGGATGAATGAGTAAGTCGTTCTCCATGTTTTATGCAGGAAAAGCCGCACCTATTCCAGTTTGTTCCAAATGAAAAACAGGTATGATATAACAAGTGACAACCGTCTTTGCTAACGTTGTATACATTTCTCAAAATGGTATACTCCTACAGGTCAAGGCAGCTAACAAACTTCTCAAGACAATGCCGCAGAGTGGCAAATGCAAAAGGGTTGACGGAGTTCCAGTTTTTAGTGCTCAAAACTTGGATATTGCAATAGCAAGCTCGGATGGGATCAAATGGTGTGTTCTAATGTTTCGTGCTTGCTTCTAATCAAGTTTGTTCTTTTGGTGAATTTTAAGTAGAATGGCTGATGCTCTATTGTTATCTTTTGTTCCAACAGGTATACTCCCTACTTTTTTGATAAAAACATGCTTGATAACATTCTTGAGGAATCTGTAGATCAGCATTTCCATTCTTTAATTCAAACTCGGCACACGCAGCGGCGACATGATGTGATTGATGACAACATACCAGCAGAAGTAATTGAAGAGATGGGCGATAACTTGTGGGAGCCTCCAGAGGTATGGAATCCAATACTGAAGTATTATTTTGATGTAGCAAGTAGTTTGGTAGTGAGACATGTACAAGATTTTAAGATGAAGAATCGAGAATTGGATTCCCATTGTCAATGATAAGCTTAGAATTATTATCATTCGTCTGACATAACTACGTATGTAGATGTATAAGTTTGTGAAGTTAAAACAACTCAGTTCACCTTCTTCTGGTTCTCACGTATTTGTATTTTGTTCGTTGGAATATATGTTTCTTGACAGGTTCAGGAAGTAATGGATGAGATAGGGAATCCTGGAATACCTTTGAGTGTCATTTCTAAAGCCGCTGAAATGCAGCTCCTTTATGCTGTTGATAAAGTACTTCTGGGTAATAGGTGGCTACGGAAAGCAACAGGCATTCAACCCAAATTCCCTTATATGGTTGACTCTTTCGAAAGAAGGTACATTAAAATATAGCAGTTGCTTTCTCGGATATCAAATACCTTCTGTTTTCTAATTAAATCTTTCTTTGAATTTTAACATTGGTAAACTCGCTTGTTCTATCTTTTAGGCTTTTCTAACAAAATTATGTTCATTCCGCTGCAGGAGTGCAGCCTCTTTTCTTAGAGCTTCTCAGTCAGCCAGATGCCTTACCAATGGGGAAGCAGTAAATGATAACGAAGATTCTCTAGATTGTAGCACTTCGGAGATTAAATTAAAGGATGATATTCACACCAATAAAGGAAACAAAACAGATCTACGATTTCCTTTCAGTGATTGGTTTAGTCATCTGTGGTCGAAACAAAAGGACCAAAATGAAGAGTTGCCAAAGGAATGCATAAAGCAGAGCACACTGCAAAATCCAAACCTTCCAAAGATTACTATGGTTGGCATTTCAACTGGTGAGGCAGGGCCGATGAGTAAAGCAAATTTAAAGAAGACGATGGAGGATTTAACAAAAGAATTGGAGCAGACGGATTCGGGAAATGCTTTTGGTAGCGATACAGGTAATGAGTTGAGATTTGAAGATAGAGATCCACTGTTTGTGGCAAACGTAGGTGATTATTATTCTGGCATGGCAAAGACGCGTTCAGCTAGGTGGGTTCGTGGAGGAAACAATTAGGGGGCCTCACCATGGCAACATTTTTGTGTTCTCTTCGGGTATGATGGAGAATATACTTATGATACATTACTGCCTCTCCCCCCCCCCCCCCCCATCAAACGGAAATACATTGTTCAGAGGCCGCGTATTTCTTCTGATGATGGGATGTTGATACCTCTAAATTTCTTGTGCATTTCGAAGTATCATGTATTTTCACGGTATGCCATTGTTATCGCACCCTTGTTGTACAAGGGGTAGAAGAGCAGATGTGTAATGGAATAGATAAGAAAGTGTTCGCCTGGAGTGAAATAAAAACTGTAATTTACATTGGTGTTTACGGATGTGAATCGGGTTAACAAGGAGCAGTCAAGGACTGCTCCGCCTCTTTCTTATTCTCTTCTACCCACTTCTTTATGATATAAGTACAACAATAACAAATGTGGTGGTGGTGGAATAACGAATGGTGGTGGTTGTGGTGGTGGAGATGGTTCCCTTGGTGCTTTGGCGCGTGAGTGCCCTCTACAATCTACATCTACCTCCTAGTGTGTGGCACACTTTTCCCACACCATAAAGTGGATTTTAATGACCTCGCCCAATCTTGCTCAAAGCATTTCCACCATAGTTGCCCGCAAATGAGTGATTGTTAGTCATTAATGCATGCGTGTCTAGCAACATGCATTCATCAATGGTTTGCGGTGTGTGAATGGCTGATGTTAGCATGATTCAACATGCAAAAGGTGATGGTAGTATTTCGATACGATAACGAAGTTAAGTTCATGATTCTAACTAAAATAAATTTTTTGGGTACAACAAAAAATTGTATCCTCAAATGATGTCGTTTGAATACGTAAAATAAGGTGTATAAACAAAAAAATATATAAAAGATCGTTTGGCTATGCTGACCCATCCCTTTAGCCAATTTAGCTCTTAACACAGGATCGTTCAAGTCAGTTTTTTTGTTATTATGATAGGTAAATTATTCTAGATCCATCCCCCGAAAGAACCATACATGATCAATAGGGCCTGTTTGGTATCCTATTTGAAATTTTTATCATTTCTCAAAACATTTCTTGAAAACTATTTTCTTTAAGACTCAAAAACTTGATTGGTTTGCGATTTAAAATTTTTAAATCTTACAACTTAGACAAAGAGATCTAAAAAGAAAGGGTCGCAGGAGAGGGAGAAAGAGAAAAGATAATGAAAGAAAGTAAGAGATGATTGAAGGAAAGAGAAAGAAGAGAGAGGATCGGATGAGATAGAGAGGAATATGAGTGAGAGAAAAAACCGACAGAATGAAGATAGCAGATTGGATGAGAGACGAAAAAAGGTGAAAAAAAAAAAAAAGGAGGAGAGAGAAAGAAGAAAAGATAGATAGATTTGAAGTGAGAGGGGATGAGGAAGAGAAAAGAAGTGAGTGAGTTTAAGTTTAAAAACTCTAAAAACTCACTTTTTTATGTTTTTAGATAATAGACTATATTTTTGAGTTAGTATTGAGTTCAGTTTTTTAAAATAGTCATATCAAATAAGTTTTTAAGGCCTAAAATTTAAAAATTGTTTTTGAATTTAAAAAGTTGGATTGAAGTAAAGTATCAAACAGATCCTAATATTTCCTCCTGCGCCAAATCCATCTCCCTCTCTCCATTGACAACAGAGCATCGCATCACTCATCTCCTCAATCTTTAAACCTCCGCAAAGCCATGAAGCTCTATAGTGTCATCCACAATCCAAAGTCAACCTGCTTGAGAATTTGTTTCGCCAAACCCAAAGTCAACCTGCTCCCCCCTTCATATATAATGCTACGCATTCATTAGCTTCCTATATGTAATAGGACTTTGAACTTGAAAAGGTTCAAATGCCCTCTCAACTTCCAACCAAACAAAAAAAGACATGAAGAACTATCAATCACAGATTCTTATTCCCCCAACTAGATTTGGATCCTCCATACAGAGAAGACGGTAAGGGCATGGTAGTGGACCAGTGGTGGTCCCAAATCACTTTTTTTTAACTAAAATTTTATTTTGCATACGTAAGTTAGGTCAATATGTTTATTTTGTGGCACTTAAATTTGAGTTATCATTTATAAATAGATTATTTTAGAGTATGGTATCGTCATACTAAAATGCTAAAGTTTTGTTCCCTCCTAGTCCTAAGGAAGGAAGATTCTCTCCCTTCCTAATTTCCCTCTCCTTCCCTCCCCTCCTATTTGATCGGTTACGGTTTAGCCATGTCAACATCTTATATTGATTTTTTTATAGAGACAATAAGACAAAAAACAATATGTGATAGGAGGAGAGAGAAGGGGATGTGAATAGGAAAAGAGAGAATCTTTTCCCAGGACTATGTTCATTGTGAAAAACACGAGTTATTGGTCTAAAATAACAAAAAATAATTGTGCTTTGGCTAAGTCAACGTACCATTTTTTAGGACATCTTTTTCCTTCAACTAATTACTTGACATTGTTTATTAATAAGAATGTCAATTGATACATCTTTTTGCGACCATAAGCGTTGCTTGTTTATTTAATTGTTTCATGTCTATTCGATTCATTGAAGAGGTACTTTTCATGTCTGTTTGATTAACGAAAATTAAAGTTAAATTGTGAGTTGACAACAAATCAGTAAAAAGTACAACTCTTTTAAAAATGATATTTTTTATGAACTCGCAACCACTGAGTATGCGTTATACAGATGTTAAACCCAGCACTCCATATACCCTCCAGTTGTAGGGCATGACAGGGCAGTGGTGCCGTGTGCTCGCATGGTGGTTTTCCAACGCTCACACACGACGGTTTCGCACTTCGACATCCAATCAGTTTTCGACTGGGACATATGTACCAACTGTCCGTGCCTTCGTCAGTGTCCGGTTCCGTCTCTGACATTTTTCCAAAAGTCAATCAAAAGCTGCGGTTCAAATACATCAAAACCACTCATTATTTTTCAAATTTTTTTGGGTTAATTAATTACTACTAAATTCCAGTATAAATAATTAAACAATTTACCAAGTCAGTGCGGCATCATTTCCTCTCACTAGCCACAATCTATTTCCATTTCTGTGTCTATGTCTCCCTTCCTCCAAGTCAGCGCCGTCCATTCCACCTCTCTTTCCTTCTAGCTGCAATAAAAAAACCCCACAAACACCGCAGCCGCCGCCACCGTTCTGCAAATGGCAGATGATTGGGATCTTTACGCTGTGGTAAGGGGTTGCAAATCAACCAACCAAACCACCCGAAACATCACCATCACCGCCACCGGTATCGCACCCACAAACCCCATCCACACACCGCCGGATGAAGTCGAAAACGATCCTTTTTGGGAGTTGTTGGACTCCGACGAGTTAACCGATCCGTTGTTCTCTATTACCAATCTAGACGTCCCAAAAGAAGCCAATGGTTTCCAAGAGCTGCAGCAGTCCTTTTTTCGCAACCCCACCACCACCACCAACAACGACCACGATCCCACCACTAACAACACCACCTTTGGACCTAATAATATTATTCCAAATTCCCCCACTATTTCTGACTTTGGAGGATCTAGTGGTAGTGGCCAACATCACCTCCAACATCAACAACAACAACAGCAACATCATGCACAACTCCAACAACAACAGCTGCAGCAGCAGCAACATCTTTCGATGCCGACTCGTTTCACCCGGGGAATTCCGGCTCCGGGTTTTCGAGGAATCTATGGCCAACAACAACAACAACAAATTATACAACCCGGGGATCAAAATCTTCAACCCGAGCAGCTCCAAACTCAGCAGGGATTTAGGAGGCCCAGGTTCATCAATCCCGCTTATCCTCATCCTCGGCTACCAACTCGCCCACAAAGAAGAAGGTATATATACTCAAAATTCGCTGTTCATTAATTGAACGACAATTAGTCTTTGTTCTTGTTTTTGCTTTTTTCACATGGTGAGGATGTGGATTACATGAATTGACTAACAGGAAAACCCAGCAAAAGAAAAATGTTCATGAAGTGAAAGCGGAGGATCTCATCAGCGCGGATTTATGGGCGTGGCGGAAGTACGGCCAAAAACCTATCAAGGGTTCTCCACACCCAAGGTACGTAATTAGGTTAATTTTTTCCACTTTCAATTTCTCTTTCCTTTTCTTTGCGATTTTCTCTCTGAATCATGGTTCTTTGCAGGAACTACTACCGATGCAGCAGCTCAAAAGGGTGCCCGGCGAGAAGGCAAGTGGAGCAGAGCACGACAGAACCCAACATCTTCATAGTTACATACACCGGGGACCACACTCACGCTCGCCCGACTCATCGAAACTCGCTTGCCGGGAGCTCCAGGAACAAGCTGTCAGCTGCATCTGCGAGTCAAAATCAGCCAATCAACAACGACTCCGGTTCGACAGCTGTTCCCAACCCCTCGTCTCCCACCACCGGACTACCCATGACAGTCCAAGCTGAGGCCGTGCCTGTAGCCAATAAGGTCAATTCTGACAATTCACTTGACAAAGAAAATGAGGAATTTGATGAGGAGGAGGAGACGGATCATGAGAACGAGAATGAGAACGAGGTTGAGGACGATGACGTTGTGATCCCGGACATGGACATGTCGGATGAGATATTCTTGGGGCTGAAGGAACTGGGTGGTACTAGTTCTAATGGCACTGGGAGTGGAAGTTTCTCTGGTTTGTGCTTCCGGTGATTATTTTTTCGGATAATAGGGCATTGAGTTTGGAGTCTTCTTGGGCTGCTGCTAATTGCTCCTCCGCTGGCGGTGGTTCCTAGTAGCCAACAAGTAGGGAAGATGCATAAGTTTTTTATTTAACCTTTTGTTACCATGTTACGGTGTTAGTTCTATGAGAGGAGAGATTTTTCTAGTGTGACCGGTATACGGGATGATACAGTATATGTCACTATACGAATGATGTGATATGTGTGTTAAAATGTTAATAACTTAAAAAATAAAATTTCTCACCACTTCTATAAAAATAAGTGGTGTACCACTCATATTCCGGTCAAAATGACAAATTTCTCCAACGAGAGATAGAGATAGAGAGACAGGTAGGGTTCTTATATTATTAGATTGTATAGAAGAGACAGAAAAGAATCTTTTCTTTCTTCCTCGTAGAGTTCAGCTGTATTTCTCTCTTCTTTTAAATTGAATACGAATGGTCTCTTTTTTTAGCTAATAGTTCTGGTGTTTAACATTTAATGAGAAAAATATCTTATTTATAATAAGGATCAACGAATTTACCAACTTTAATTTCATCGTATTACAGAAAACTAATTCGCGTGGAGAAATATGATAGTAATATGGCTATCAGATATGATGCTTATAATTGATTTATCAACTTTAGAAGCTTAGATATGCGTTTCTTTTTAATAATAAAAACTATTTATAACTCATTAACCAGCTTCCATCATATTCACGTAAGTTAATCAGAGTAGGAAGATATGATTGTGCAAATCTTAATAGGGTAATTCACATCAATAACTGTCAAAAGTTGAACTGTAAATTCACATCAATAATTGATTTCAAACTCGCTATTTATGAGAGTTGAACTTAAGACATTTTTCACTTACAAATGAAAAAAAAAAAATATTGTTTACTAAATCATTTGAAATTAAGGTTATTTTGTAATTCTATGCAATTCACTTTTGTTTTTGGCATCTTTGTTTTTTCTCTCATTTTTAAGTTTATGGTATTTATGACAATATCCAATATAAAAAGCATTCTATAAACTAAGTTTCAATACTTTCTTAAGAAAATGTGAAAAATTCGAGTAGATTATGTATCAATGTTGCTTTTAATTAGACAATATTAAAACTTAGATACAAAGATGCATAGCAGCCACCTATACTAATGAAGTTGTCAGTAATGTCTAATTTCTAAGGTAATAATTTTATTTGAGAAATGTTCATTTTGTTAGAAGTTTTTTTATAAGGAATTTTAAAAAAAAAATTTCGGTATTATTCACTTTAACGAAAAATCACATTTTTATACTAAAAAGTCAATCCTGATACTATTCACTTTACCATTTATTTTGTCCTTATTGTTAAAACTCAAAATTTTCGAATCATTTTCATTCTTTTATATCCTTTTATAAATCATGGGGTATTAAATACTTGTCAGCCCCATTGTTTAATTTGTCATACCGTGAACCGCTCCGGTTCAGTCTCCTTTGTCACGAGACAAATACTAGATCCTCTATTTGTCTGTTCATACAATGAGGACAAAATTCGGATTAATTAAATAATCTCTTTGGGTAATAAGGATTAGAGTTGGTCAAATATATTTACTTAGGGTTTTGTCGTTAACTTTAATTTAGACAATATTATTGATTATTTTATGTGAAAGGAATATTCAGATTATCATGCGTTTCAAATTTGAAACCTTCAACTTTTTTAAATTATTATAATAATTCTGAACTTTCGTGTTGTCTTTAATAATAATAATTTTTTTAAAAAAATATATTAATATCCAGGTTGCAGAAAATACCAGGAATTTTAATGGTGAAGCAAGTTGTTGGGTTACTATATTCCAGAAATATGAGGAAGTCCATGTCTAAAACAAGACTTATAAACTAACAAAAATAAGATAAAGAGTCCTTATTTGTTAATGTTATGTATGTCTTATTAAATAGAAGATCTAGGTTATAGTTTTATATTAAAAGAACAAAAAAATTTCTCAGTTACTTCATACTTATAAAACTAATAATTTGCAAGTGATTAGGTCATCTTTCACTGCGTTTCAAGGTTAAACTTTTACTTTAATTGTAGATTAATATAAAATATCATTTGTATTAAAATAAAACTAATAATTCAGTCATACTTTTCTTAGTGTTGTAAAATATTTTAATTTTTGAACCTACTCGCTCTATTAGACTATTGCTCGTAATTTCAATTTTATTATCTCATAAATAATTGACACACCCCGACACTGAATGTCTATTAGAATTCCGAATCGAGCTATGTTGGCCGACACCTGGAAGCTGACAAAGCCATAAAGTGTAGTGATATGAAAAATGTGAATAATTTAAACCTAAGAGTGCCTAAATACCAGAGTGTGCTGGTGAGTTAGAATGAACCCATTCGCACGTGACGTCAGAGTATAAGTAAAGTAAAATAAAGTAGGTAAGGATTATACCCTCAGACGTAGCCACTTATATTGAGACTCACCAAGAATCCTCGTCGATACGAACTTTCAACAATTAAAACCTGGAGGGGCGAAAAACAGAAAACACGAGTGGGCAAAAAATAAAGCTTTTTAAAACCATTTCTCTTTCCAAAAAATAATAAACCCTTACCGTAAAACCCGTATAATTTCCCAGAAAATAGTAATACATATCTATGTAGAAATCATGCTCGTGAGTAGTGAAAACCAAGTATATGCCATGTCAAGTATCTCATCAATAAAACAAGTAAGCCAGGTGAAATAAATCAATGTAACTGATATGTCATACCTAACGTAACCTGTACGGCTGAGCCTATAGCTTATCTACTAATTCATGCACATGAGTTGGAACCACCTAATGTGGTTTGTACGACAGGCTGGGTGTAAATAAGTACGCTCAAGTGCTACGATCATGTGAAAGTTGTGCGACAAATCGCAGGTCACCTATGAGTCGAAACCACCTAATGTGGTTTGTACGACAAGCTGACACCTGACTTGGATCCAAGTTGAGCATGCGGTACGGGAGGTGAACGATCACGTGAAGGCTAGACCCTGGCCACTGGCAAAACACTAACACCGGGGCGCATGATAATGAGCACCAAATGCATCTAAACATAACCATAGTCACTGTAATCATTATCATCGTGATATACTCACATGAAACTTACCTGAGCCTCCGCAGTATCAACAAATATTATGCATATGTATACTAATACATATACTAAAATGTAATGTAATTGACATGGCATTTAAAAAATGTAAATCCATTTAACACAGTTTTGGAAAAATGTAAAGCATATATACGTATGTGTGTGTGTGTGTGTATAACCAAAAGCCCACTCACCTGAGATCCGCGCTACACTCCCTAACATGAATATCGAAATGTCTCGAACGATCGTCGCCTAGAACAAATATCAAACCACGTCTCATAATCCTTACTGATAGAACATGTAATTTACATAAAACACATTCCCAAGGACGTTCTGGAATGATTTAAGACCTATTGACCAAATGTCAACCGTTGGTCAAAGATTGACAGTAGGGTCCACAACCCTACGTAACTCGATTCAGAAGATCCGTATCTCAGATTTCTGATCCATAACTTCCAAAGATACACATTATGCTTCTAGAACAACATACTAAAGTTTTATTACGATCCAACGATTGGATCTCCACCACTTGCAAATTGAAGTGGCGATTAACGTTTTATTTTATGAACTTACAATTCCAATTCGGGAAGATCCGTACGTCGGATTCCTGATCGGTAAGTTTCTATGGTACTCAAATATTACTTACTATTACGTATTAAAGTTTAGTGATGATCTAACGGTCGGATCGTTGATTGCTATAATGTTCAAGTGGAGGACCTTAACGAAATTTTGGCTGATTCTGCAGATTTTGCAGCTTTTCTGGGCAATCTTAGGAACTCCATATCTCACTTGTTTGTCAACCAAATTCGATCCATAGTATACCAAAACAAAGCTAGAGAAGTGTAGAACAAGATCATACCTGATTGGAGTACAAATGATCACCGGAGATGGCCATAAAATGGCCTGAAAGACGGCTGTCCGCGGGAAAACAGGGAAATTTGCCAGAATTTCTGGGCAACCTTTCAATGTCCATAACTTTGTCAATACTCAACGAAATCAAGTGATTCAAAAACAGAAATCATAGTTCTTGACGAGATGAAGAGATTGGTACCTTAAAAGATGGCTATTGGTACCTTAAAAGATGGCTATCTCGCCGTTATTTGGCCTTAAAACGCCTCAAAAAATGGCGGAGGTCGCCGGAAACTGGGCAAACTTTAAATCGTTATAACTTTCTCATTTCTTCACCAAATCACACGATCAAAACATGAAAATTCATCTACGCAACATGAGGAATCGATTTATACCTGTTTTGAGTTCAAAAGATGGCTGGGAATTGTCTGAATCACGCCTAGAAGTCTCGGCCCAAAACCTTGTTCTTCAAACTCGAGGTTAGGATTCGTTTTCAATGAAACAAACTCAAAACTGGGTTTATGATGGTGATGACATGCAGATAATGGTGGTTTTGATATTCAAAAAGCCGAAATTTTTGGTGATGATGGTGGTTTGTTTCACGGGAGAAAGGGAGAGCCGAGAGAGAGTTAGAGAGTTAGAGAGAAGAAAGAAGCTACGGAAGAAGAAGAAAAAGAAAGAGAGAGAGAGTTCCAGAAAAGTGGGGGGTGGCCCCACGTGGCACTCATCCAATGGTCAGACAAAATACCACATGTGCTTTAAATGACAAATTACCAAAATACCCTCGACGTTTAAAGGTTCGTAGAATCTTCGTTATAACTCCAAATTACATTCCACTTGTGCCCATGCGTCTGTAGCGATGAGTACTACGAGGATACACCAAGAAAACGAGTCTTACGTGACACGGCACATCAGTCAACCAAAGTCAACACATTTGCCTCGAAGGGCATTTTTGTAAATTCACTTATTAAAATTATAAAAAAACCGTAAAATTGGGAACGGGTCGTTACATAATAGTTTTGTGTTAAAATTTTATCTAAGAATTAGGAGTAGGATCGAAAAAGAAAAAGGAAGAAAAAGAAGTAGATCTGATTTGCCCATAGGTCTTACTTGTATTTTCTTGTTTTTTATCCTTTGCATAAGGAGGACTAGCTAGTAGCTTCTGTCACGACATTTCATCATTTTAGAAGTCGAAAAAATTCACAGAAGCATTTTAATCTCTCTAAAACCACCACCGTGTGGCCATACCAAAAAATCACTTTAACTTTGTTTGTTTGACCATACAATCACTCATGTTTTTAGCACATAATGTTGAAATGCAAACTAAAACTTTCTTTTATGTTTGCTTTTCTTTTCGGATGATAAAAATAAAGATAACATGTAACAAATTTCAAAAAATTTAGTAGAAAAAAGGTAAATATGAATAAAAATAGACACGCAACCTTAAATTGCAAAAACAACTTAATTATAAGGGTAAATTACATAAAAGTACCTCAATTATTGGGTCATTAATAGTTTAATACCTCGTCTTTAAAAAATTTCAATGTCATACCTTTAGGGGTGGGCATAAAAACCGCCAAACCGCAAAACCGCATCGAACCGTAAGAAAAAAAACCGACAAAAACCGTGTTGACCGGAAAAGTCAACTTTGAGTGAAAAACCGAACCGAACCGTTCAAACCGGTTCCGGTTCCGGTTTCGAATGACCAAGAACCGGCCGAACCGAACCGAACCGTTTTATTAATAATAAATAAATAAATTATATATACACACATGTCATGGTATAATAAGTTGAAAAATAGGTTGAAAAATTGTGTACAGGAGCTGCTGCTTCTTGCTTGCTCTCTGAAGTCTGAAAACTTGCAATTTGTTTCATCATTTTTTTGTTTGTTGACTGATTGACCAGTGCATATGTATTTTAGTTGTCTCTTTTTGTTGACTTGGTGCCACTACCAAAGACATTTGCATTAAAAAAGATGTGTTGTATGCAACTTTATGTAATCAGTTTTAGAAGATGTATTTGAATGCATAATGATTTGGTGTTCAAATAATTTATTATTAGGAACCGTAAACCGGCAAGAACCGAATCGGAACCAGTGTAGACCGAACCGTAATGTTCTAGTCATAAATTTAAGTGGAACCGCACCGAATCGAACCGTTAATATATTTCGGTTCCGGTTCCAATTTAGGAGTGGAACCGCACCGAACCGCACCGTGCCCACCCCTACATACCTTATCTTTGAATTTTGTCGTAATGTCATACCTTCCATTAGTTGTCTGTCAATTCCTCTGTTAAATGCTAATATGACACACTTTATATTTAAAAACTAATAAAATATTATTAAAAAAATTAATTAAATATTAAAAAACTTAAAAAAAAATCTTCTTTTTTTTTTTTTTTTTTTTTTTGCACAGGGACCCACCCCGCACCCTTTCTTCACCCTTCATTTCCTCCCCCACTTCTCTCTCTCGCCGTGGCCAGAATTCGATCCATCGTCCCCATCCGTCCCCCACCCCCCCCCCCCGTCATCTTCCCCATCCTTTGTCCCTCCCTACACCCATCCTCCACCTCCTCTGCGCACCCACTTCCCATCTTCCTCCCCGCCCCCCCAACCTATAACCCACAAAAAAAAAAAAAAAAAAAAAAAAAAAAACCCATCTGCATCCCCCCTTTCTCTACAACCCAGATCATGTCTTCTCCAATGGGTGTAGATTTAAGGAGTGGAGTGTGTAGAGGAGGGAAGAGGGTGGGTGCGCCTTTTTTTTTTTTTTTTCTTCTTCTTTTTTCTAGGTTGCAGGTTGGGTTTGGGGCGGGCGGGGCGGCGGGGGGGGGGAGGGAGGGGAGGACGAACTGGGTTTGCTTTTTTTTTTTTTTTTTGTTCCCTTCTCTTCTTCTTCTCTTCTTCTTTTTTGGGTTGCAGGTTGGGTGGGGGGCGGGGGACGAATTGGGTTTGCTTTTTTTTTATTTTTTTCTTTTCTTCTTCTTCTTCTTGTGGGGAATCCAGGTTGGGTTGGGGGGGGGACGAATTGGGTGTTCTGCCTCGCGTTCCAGGCATACTGAAAAATCTCTCCACAATAACAATATAAACAAAATAAAACGAGTTTGTGCTCCATTGAGTTTTCTCCAATCTACATCAAAAGTGGACGTCTAAGTTACACAGCTAAATAAGAGCCATTAGATCTCATTAGATCAAATAATTCCTTGACTCTTGTTATGATGTGTAACTTAAATGACATTTTTGATGAACCACAACAAGTGACCTAGTAGTAAAGGCGCAGATTGCGACTCCACGATAAACAAAAAAAATGTGGGAGGTCCCGGGTTTGATGATCCTAGCTAGTGAGTGTGCTTGACTGTGGCTACGAGCATGGTGAAATTCCTCATAGCCTCTCTGGACCCGGAATGAGTAGATAATTGGGACTTACCACCTGTTGTCCTTTTTTTTATATATATATTTTTTATATTATTATTATAAAGGAAATGACATTTTTGATGTGGATTAGAGAAAGCTTCTTGGGTGCGTTATCAGGTTTACGTTTGGTGTTTGGGCTTTAGGCTCAAATAATATTGCAGGCCTTGATTGCTTATTCATGATTGGGCTTGTGACGAAGTGACAACAGAAAATTACTTGAAAACAGAATTCTGGAAGGGAGAGAGAGGAGAAGAAGAACCGATCCGACTCACTCAGAGCTTTCACCTCAGAGAGAGACAGAGTGAGAGGGAGAGAGAGAGAGAAAATATGTTCCTGCGAGCGATCGGACGGCCCTTATTGGCCAGGGTGAAGCAGACGACGGGGATCGTAGGGCTGGACGTGGTCCCCAATGCGAGGGAGGTCCTAATCGAGCTCTACTCCAAAACCCTAAATGAGATCCAGGCCGTCCCCGAGGACGAAGGCTACCGCAAGGCCGTCGAGAGCTTCACGCGCCACCGCCTCAACGTCTGCCGCGAAGAGGAGGACTGGGAGGCGATCGAGAAGAAGCTCGGCTGCGGCCAGGTCGAGGAGCTCATCGAGGAAGCGCGCGACGAGCTCACCCTCATCGGCAAGATGATCGGTCCGTACAATTTATTGCTTTTATTATTTGATAAACCAGTTTTTTTTTATTTAGCTTTATATTTTTGAAAATAAATGTAATTGTAAATGTTTATTTGTGTTTTGCGATTGACATTTCGGTCATATAACATTGGAATTGAGCTGAAGGAGCTTAAAATAATCAGTGACTGCTCGGAAATGCTGTTTGTCATTTTGAATTTTTGTGCTTTTTTTGGTTGATGAGAAATCGAAAACTTAAATCGAATTGGAATTGGAAATTTTGGTGATTAGGTCTGGCCTGTGTAGTTCGTGATGGTAACTTCAGTTTGTGCATTCCTGTCATGGAAATTAGGTAGGAAAAGTAAAGATTGTAAATTGTTATCAACCGTATTTATGGTCACCAAGTCATGAAACGAAAGGCGGGTACTTGATTTTATCAGTTCCGAAGAAGATATAATATCCGGAGAATGCCGTGTTGTTAATGCATATCATATGAGGTGGTCGAAGCAGAGTAAGTTGGGAGAGAGTGGTATTTACATTCCGCTGAAGAAACTGCATTTTCACTTAGCTGACTGTGCACAAGTTTTGCGTGAACTCAAGTAGAACACATGATAAGAAAATGCCGTTTTCTTCGCTTTGATGCATTTCAAACTCTCGGTCAATACCAAAGTGGGAATCTTTGTTTGTGTGAACAATGATCACTAGCCGTCGTTGTCTCATGCGTGAATTAATTTGGCGTCTTTAGTTCTTTTGTCTCAGTGTTTTATTGTTCTGGATTTGGAACCTGTAGCTTTATTGTCGTTATATGAAGTAGTTGTGTCAACGAAACTGATATGGTAGATTATTTCCTTGAAATTTTTATCTCATCGCAAGCTTTTATTTCAATTGATATACGAGATATACAATGGATTGTTTGTAATAGTTTGCATTCTGTATTGAGTTGCATTGCAGAGTGGGATCCATGGGGTGTTCCTGATGATTACGAATGTGAGGTGATCGAGAATGATGCTCCAGTTCCCAAGCATGTTCCTCTGCACAGACCTGGTCCTCTTCCTGAGGAGTTTTACAAAACGCTGGACAGCCTTACTACAAACCAACCAAAATTGGATGACGCTAAAGTCGCCTCTATTGGGTCGGAAGCAAAGGAGTAAACTATCCGTCGGCATATGAATCTAGGATTCTGGATTCTAGATTTGAATTGAAGTCTTTTTTTCTTGTATTCTCCTGTTTATTGTTGGTGACAGTTTTCCTGTTTGCAGGGCTGTATAAATTTTAATCATGGGAGGGACGCTTTAATTTTTCAATAATCTACACTCGAGTGTTGGTACCATTACGATCTTGTTTTCATAAATTCGGCCCTTGATTTCCGTTGAGAATGAGTAATGTAACACCGTGTTAGCAGTTCGAGTTTTGGCATTGGGGTTGTGCGTGGTTCCATTGTTGTGCTCGATTTCTGTTTTTGATTTTGGTCTCACAATTGCATGGTTATGAACTAATGTAAACTCTTTGTTGTGGCTTTCTGAGTTCTTATCGTTTTACACGGAAAAGCAACCAGAAGGCTACATCGTCAACAGGCTAACATTTTCGTCCATGGAATCCTTCTGCCGCAAATTACCTGTACCCCTACACGAGCACTCACCCTTGTTGAAGATATGCAACCGGTTCCCGTCCCTCACAATGATCTCCCGACCAACAACTTGAGTTACAAGCGTTATAAAGCTGTGGCATTCGACGCATATGCGCACATTCTTAGACACGCGTATGGAGGCGTTACGTGGTGTTTTGAGAAGACCGAATGCAACGGCTAACTTCTCAATGTGATATGATGAATCTTCGTAATCTTGATACGAGTATCCTCTCTTCTTCAACTCTGTAATAAGAGATTCTACCTTCTCTTGGATTTCATTTATCTGTGGATGTGATCGATCTCCTGCATCGAAGAGATGAACCCTGTTCCTTATTTCCATCCAGCACTGCCCGACATTCTTCTTCAATCCCCTCTCCCTCATTGCTTGTCTTGTACTTTTGGCTAAATCCGGCTGACCAGAATCATCATACATACTTGCAAGCAGCACGTAAAAAGCTGGATCAGACGGGTCAAGTTCCATCCCTCGCCTCGCTGTATATTCCCCGAGGGAAATGTTTTTATGTAACTTGCAGGCAGCCAATAGTGTCTTGTAAATTAAGGCATCCGGCTTAAAGGGCATGGTCATGATCGCTTCCATGGCATCCTCTAGTCGCCCTGCTCTGCCAAGGAGATCAACTAAACAGGAATAGTGATCCAGTTGTGGAACTATATCATACTTTTCTCTCATTGACTGAAAATGCTCAAGACCTAGTTCAACCAAACCGCCATGGCTGCAAGTGAAAAGCACCAACAGGAATGTAATGGAATCAGGTTTAAATCCTGCCAACCTCATGTTGTCAAAGGAGGAGAGAGCGGATGAAATATATCCACTCGATGCCAATCCAGAAATCAAGCAGTTCCATGACACTATATCTGGCTCAGAAATCTCACTGAAAGCTTTGTGTGCATCATCTCTGCACCCACATTTCCCATATAAGTCCACTAAGGCATTCAAAACTGATATCCCACTGCCTAAACCAGCTTTGATAGAATAGCAATGAAGTTGCTTCCCAGTTTCCATTGATGCCAAGCCAGCTGATGCAGATAAGAAGCTTGCAAGGCTAAACCCATCCATCATAACGTCATCAGTCTGCATACGGGCGATGACATCCAGTGCAATTTCATAATTACCTAGCTGATTCATTCGTGTGGCTAAACCTGTATATGTGATAGCATCTCGATGGATCATGGAGTTAATCACATGCCACGCATCATCCACCATCCCCAGCGCAGCATAAGCATCCACAAGTGCATTCCCAACAGCTATATCACTGCCAGCTTTGGTTTTAACTATACGTCCATGGATCTTTCGTGTCTGACTAAGAGATTTAACGGTACTGCAGGCACGAAGAATGCTAGAGAAAGTAAAGGAATTTGGCTCGACTCCTACTGTTCGCATCTCCAGAAAATACTGAAAAGAATCTTGTTCAAAACCGTGTTCAGCAAAACCGGCAATCAATGAAGTCCAAGTGATGACACTCGGCAATGTTATCTCCCTAAACGCTCTCAAACCATCTTCTATGAGGTCAGAACATTTCAAGTACATATCAACTACTGCACCGCCGGCACAAGTATCATCCTCCAATCCAGCCTTGAGCACCCGTGAATGGATCTGCTTTCCTAATTCCAGTAACAAAACCGCTGAGCAAGCTTTCAGCATACTAGAGTATGTAAAATTATTCGGTACAATTCCAGAGAGCTCCATCTCGTGCAATGCAGCAACAGCGTCCGCAACTCTCAAACTTTGAGCGAAGCCAGAAATAACAGAGGTCCACAACAACACATCATATTCAGATGTTTGATTCAACACCTTGATAGCATCTTCCATCTTCTGGCATTTCGAGTACATATTGACCATGGCTGTCTTCAAGACCAGATTCAGCCTCATTCCGAATCTTATCAAATGGGTATGTAGTAATTTCCCATAGTTCAAACCAAGAGAGCAGGATGCAGCGAAAAGTTTTACGAAAGTGAACTCATTTGGATGAACCCTAGCAGCATATATCATATCCATGTAGTAGCCTAGAGCCTGTCTCCATTTCTGAGCTTGGACCAATGAAGAGATGATTGCAGTCCAAGAAACAGTATCACCACTCTCCATATCCCTAAATATCTTACAAGCCTCTTCGGTTAAACCACACTTGGCATACAGATCAATCATACTACTACCAAGAAATTGATTTGGCTCGAATCCAAGCTTGATCACAAACGTATGGATTCGAGTCCCATAATCCAACTCTCCCAACAACGAGCACGATTTTAACACACTTGAGAGTGTAAACTCATTGGGGCACTGACCGGAAACAATCATCGAATCAAAGAATTCAAGCGAGTCATGATAGTGTCCGTTCCTGACATACGCGGACAGCATCCCGGTCCATGATACAACATCTCTGCGAGGCATTTCATCGAACAAGTGGCGTGCAGCCTCAACTCCAGAGCATTTTGCATAGAGAGACAGCAGGTTGTTGGTTAAGTAAAGGTCATCGTCAAGACCCAGTTTGGTAATTGGGCTGTGCACACAGATGCCCTCTGGCAGGGACTGTGAGTTGCATGCTGAAAGAACCCGGAGGCAAGTTTCTTTGAAACAGTTAACTTCATTTGTGTTGACAACGAACCTGGTGACTTTTGCTATAGACATCAAATTCACAACATTTTCGTATGGTTGAATTTGAGAGATAAAAAGATTAAATACCACGTGACGTTTTGACTGTCACACTTTAAAAAGCTAAGAGTACTTTCAAAGAAGATGTTAACATGTCATATTATAATCGTAAAAAAAAAAAAAAAAAACCAACAACAATATTTCTTAAGGAAAATTAATGAAAATGACTTATAAACGTTAAGTTTTAATCAAAATGACAAAAAAAATTGTTGTAAGTGAACAGTACTATGAGTGTTTCGTTAAAACTTCCTATTTTTTAACCAAAAACCAAATCTGATGTGGCATGATATTTGGCAACCCTCACCCGCAAAAATTAGCCGTGTTATCAACTTTTTTTAATTAATTATTAAATACATTATATTAATTTATTACTGTTTTTTGTTTTATAGTATTTATTATGGGTGTGTAATATCCACATACATCTTTTTACTCCTCACATACCTCTTATTAATTTCTCATTTGATATTCTTCAATTCATTCGATCTGACGATTGGAAATTAAGAAAGCGTGTAAGAAGTAAAAAGAGGTGTGTGGATAGCGCACATCTTTATTATAATAGTTCAATGCAATAAATTGTAATAAAATAATAATTTAATTTGAAATATCGAGTTGAGAGTAAAACTTTAAAATATGTCAAGATCACATACATTGTTAAATTTAAATTTTATATTAAAAATTTGTCGTTGGTAGACATGTAACATTATTTATATAGTCATGTACAAATGGAAGCTTCCTTTCTCAATAGTTGGGTTTCTGGTATGTGAATATGGAAGCTCGCACGAAAACTAATATCTAAAAAAATTATATTCCTTTTTGCATTGCGTTACATATAACATCACATTGATAATATTTATAAGCTGGGAATAAATAAAAGTACATAGAAACATGGAAGAAGCCAAGAAAAGTTTGTAAACTTGCCTTCCTTGCTTGGTTGTTCTTGGAAATTTACTTTCCTACCAAAAGCAAGAAATATAAAAATACCTACGAATATCATCCAAGTTTAGCTAAGCATGTCAAGACTAAAAGTGATGATTTAGAATTAAATAGGTCTATAGCATGATTCCCTCAATCATTTATGATTACTGTGTGATTAGTAATAATTTTTTAAATGAATCGGTAAAATACGCTGATAACTGTAAGTTTTATATAAATATAAAGAGTACTTTGGTTGTGAGTTTCATTTAGTGCTATTTTCTAATTACAAAGTCATCAATGTAGCGAGGAAGTTTTAACATGTCCATCTTACTAGAAATACTTTGTGAGGTCATATGAGATTAAAATATAGAGAATTTCATACTAATTTGAATATAGATTTTCTTGCATACTTAAATTTAGCAAAATTAACTAAAAGAAAATGGAGCTAACTCAAGTTCGAATCCCTTCTCAACAAATAGATTTTGTTATATTCTTTAATTATTATTTTTGATAAGATGAACTGTCAATTTAGTTACTAAATTATTACACGAGTGAAAATTAGGTCCCTAAACTTTTTTTTTTCCAGAAAAATTAGTCATTGAATTATAAAAATCTACCAATTACATCCCTAATATGAGATTCGAAGCTACTATATTCAATTTTCCGTCAATTTAAGTCACGTTACTTGCATGTGATCTACATTGGAGGGTAGATTGTAATTTTCTATAAAGAAATAGTGTATGGAGTTAACTTTGAAGCTTTAGACGTTAGATTCGCAACCTATATGAAATGTTAAGGGCTTATAGGTGAGAAAAAAATGATATTACACTCTAAAATGTGTCAAGTAATATAAGTTGAAGAAAAATAGGTTTGAATACAATAGTAGGATGAAAATAGTAATTTTTAATGAATTTAGAGAGTTATTTTACCAAAAAAATAATTCAAGAAACTAATTTTCACTGACATGATAGTTTAGGGATTAAATCGACACTTTACCCATACTATGTTGTATGCTCATCATACAATTAATCATTTGACACATGTTCTTTCACTTAACCTTAGTTAAATTTTTTCAAAATTGAAAAGATAACATTTGATGTGAAAATTAACTTGAGTTAAGTGAGATAACACATGGCAAATATATAAGTGCATAGTGAACATACACCATAGTTATGATGATGATACTCACAACTAGCAAGGGACGAAGCCCAAAAGCCCCACCAACGCTATTCTCTCTCCCCATCGGATTAAGCGAATGAGTAATGCTAGTTAAATAAATTTTTTAGACTATATTTGCAAATAACGTATCACTAAAAAAAATAAGTAAATTAATAAACGATTAATTATCTAATTATAAACAATAAAAGCATATAATATTAGCCTTAAGTTAAGCGAATATAATTTTAAGTATACGATATTTATCAGCTTACTCTCTCATATTTGCCACCCCAAGTCAATCATATTGTCTCCCTACTTTTTTTCTAGACTCTTCCATTTCCCTCAGTCCAGACGGTTGCTCCGCCAATGGCTTCCGATCTCGAAAAGAGTGCCAAGGAGGCGTTCATCGACGACCACTTCGAGTTGGCCGTTGACCTCTACACCCAGGCCATCGCTCTCAACCCTCAGAGCGCCGAGCTCTACTCCGACCGCGCGCAGGCCAACATCAAATCCGGCAATCTCACTGGTACCCCTTTTTCCTCTTGCAATTTCGCGCCAACCCTTTTCTTTGTTTCTTGTTTGGTTCCCAAGAAAGCCTGTGAAAATTGAAATAAGTTCAAGAAAATGGTCAATTGGGTCTTCTAATTCTCTTTTATCTGTTGTGCTTTTTTTTTGTTTGTTCAGGGGCTGTTGCGGATGCGAACAAGGCAATTGAGTTCGATCCATCACTATACAAAGCGTATTTGCGCAAAGGGTGAGTTCGAATGCACCAACACCGGAAACTCGTAATTCTGTTTGTTGTTTTTTTATCACCTATTTGTATGGAATACAATAAAGATTGCAACTTGTATTTGATATTTTCGGACTGTAATCTAATAGGGTGTTCAATTTTGTCTAAGCTTGTAACTATCAACTCGAAAATTAATAAAGGTCATGCTGATCATTGGTATTTGTTGTGGATCTTTCGTCCTTTGCGAAAGGGAAAGGCTTTTAATGCTAATTTGAGTGTTTCAAAACTTTTGTTTTTGTTTTTGGCCAAAATCTTGGAGGGCTTATGGCGGGGTATCGTGGAGTCCATTTGTGAAACTCGTTGTGTACTACGTGTGGGTTTTGATTTGGTATCAGTTATGTTCTGCACTTTCTACATGTGATTGCCAATGTCATCGCTAGTTTTACAATTTTTATTCTTTGCTGTTGTTGGTTACAGAATTGCCTGCATCAAGCTCGAGGAATATGAGACTGCAAAGGCAACCCTGGAAATTGGTGCTCCTCTGGCCCCGCATGAGACAAGATTCGCTGAATTGATAAAAGAGTGTGATGAGAAAATTGCAGGTGCGATGGTTGCTTGTTTCAAGTTGCACCTTTGTAGTGATTCATGGAAATGACGGGCCTTTTCACACAGTTAGATATTTAGCTTTCTTTTTTGGTCTGATTTATGCTGTTTCCTTCCAATCAGAGGAAACTGGTGTTCAACCAACATCTTCGTTGGAGAAAAACATGACAGAGAATGTTATACCTGCAGAAGATGTTCAGCCTGTGAGTCAACCTTCCAATCAGGTGACCGTAGCAACTGTCAAACCAAAATACAGGTTAGTCGAGATCAATTTAATTTCTGTTGCAGCAAGTGTTTTAGTCTTGATATTTTGAAGGAGCATCACCAAAACATTCTATCTGCAGTTCTTGTTATTTTTTTTTTTACCTTTTTGTACAGTGTATGTTGAAGCTCCGTGCTATCTATGCATGCTTGGGTAATACCCTCTTATTTGCTTTATGTATCCTTATTCCTTAGTCACTGAGATGCATGATTTGGTGGAAATTTTTTTATGCAGGCATGAATTCTACCAGAAGCCAGAAGAAGTGGTTGTGACCATATTCGCCAAGGGCATACCAGCCAAAGATGTTAATGTTGACTTTGGTGAACAAATAGTATGGTTCTCATTGATCCAATGCTTCTTTTTATTATTTGTGAATATTGATTTTATAGTTGTCGAGAACCTACATAGTAAAAAAGTTCTGTGGATATTTATACAAGTTTTATGACTGACGAATCACTTTTATTGGTTGTTTCCAGCTAAGTGTTAGTATTGATGTCGCTGGTGAAGATACGTATCATTTTCAGCCTCGTTTATTTGCGAAGGTAGTGCACCTATTCTATGTTGGTGAGATTTTTTTTTTCTTTGTTTGCAACAAGGATATACACAGAAAATTAGAGAAATAGATGATGGCCCTTTCCATTTTCCTATTTATATTTTTAAAATAATTGGCAGTATCGTATGCTTTGAATTTAATCTGGCCTGAGCAGTTGGTATTCTTTTGAGCTATTGGTTGATTTTATATATGCATGAGAGCATTTTCGAATAACTGTGCGGTTTGGTTGTTTGCGAACAGATAATACCTGAAAAGTGTAGATTTGACGTTCTGTCCACCAAAGTTGAAATTCGCTTGGCTAAAATTGAACCATTACACTGGACATCTCTTGAATTCAGCAAGGACAGCCCTGTTCCACAAAGGGTCAGTGGCCCAGGTATGTTAATATGTTTGCAACCCTCTGATTCTAAAACTAGATTAGAAATTTGCTGCTAAAATGTGTTTACTGTCTGCAGTTGTTTTAGCGCCAAGGCCATCCTACCCATCCTCGAAACCAAAAAGGGTCGACTGGGATAAGCTGGAGGCCCAAGTGAAGAAGGAGGTTTGCTCGTAACCCAATTGGTTTGACATTACTCTTGTATGTTTCACTGCATGACCACTTACTCCGGTGCGTTGTGACTCCAGGAAAAAGAAGAGAAGCTTGATGGTGATGCAGCTTTGAACAAATTTTTCCAAGACATATACAAGGATGCTGATGAGGACACAAGAAGGGCCATGAGAAAATCTTTTGTAAGACTCTTTCCGTATCTAGTATTTTGATAGCCAGTAGAATTCATAATTCCGGTCACCATGAAAGATTCGAGTGGAACCACCACGGTTTTGGGAGTAAAACCAGTCTACGTTATATTGACTTGCATATTGCATCCTTGTGTTTGTGTTTGTACTGTACAGGTGGAATCGAACGGGACAGTGCTTTCGACAAACTGGAAAGAAGTGGGAAACAAAAAGGTTGAGGGAAGTGCTCCGGACGGCATGGAGATGAAGAAATGGGAGTTCTAGACTGTTGCTGCACTCTAGTACTAGTTGGAACCGAGTGATATGCTTTTTCTTTGTGCTTGTAACCTATTTGGGAGTGTGATTTTGTTGGTTGGACAGACAATAGTTTTGCAGTTAGTCTTTGGCACTACTCTGGCTGTTTGGATGATGACTCTCTTAGTCTCTTCCGCCTGTGAAATTAACCCGCATTGGTGTATTTTCTTTTGTGTTTTGCTTGTGCCTTGTACGCTCAAAACCGATCCCATCTGGACAAATTGTAAGTGTTTAATACCTAATTTCTTTGTTCTTGCGTTGTTGATGCCGAGTTCTGCTTTAACTTCTTGCACTCCTGTCCTGCCAGTCCGCGGCACGGATAACCAGGTATCAATCATATTGTTCATCTAAGACGATATGCGCAATCGAACCGGCTACAGTTTTGACTTGGTGCTGAGTGAGAGCGGAGTACGCTGTTATAGTTAACTTGATCGTATCAATTGTACTATTCATCTAAGACGATATGAGCAAATAGAACCGGTTACAACTTTAACCTGGTGCTGAGTGAGAGTGGAGAGTACATTGTTATACTTAACTTGGTTAAGTTCGGATGCATCTAATTTTCGGACGTATCTGTACACATTTTCTTTTGATAAAATCAACCAACTTGTTGCCACTTAGTATTATGAAGTACGGATTAGCGATATTTCTTTTCATTCGTAAGTGAGAGATTTAAGTTTGATTCTGAATTATATTATTGTTAATTCATTGTGAGACTTAACCCACCTTCACACCTTAATGTAAATAATATCGATTCTTAAAAAAAAAAAAAAAAAAAAAAAAAAAAAAAAATTAATCATCTTGTTAACAAAAAATAATAAGAAATACCGTTTTTTTTTTTTTAAAGTAAAAATTAGTTAAATTCCTATGCATAAAACGCCGCGTTCCTTCTACCTGCAGGTTCTATAGTATCACCATCGTCCTGATCATTTTCTGTTTCTTTGGTCTGCGAGTGCGACGGCGAGTTCGGAAAATAAGATCAATCAGTCCGATCGGATTCCGATTTCAGACTTTGAAATACTTAGAAGCAGGAATAGCACGGAGAAATGCAATTCTTCGGAGGAACGGAGATAAGCCCGTCGCTGCCGGCGTCGACGGCGTCGGGAAACAACGGGCACATGATGTACGTCTTTAACCGCAACGGCGTCTGCCTGCTCTACCGCGAGTGGAATCGGCCGCTTCACACCCTGAACCAGCAGCAGGATCACAAGCTAATGTTCGGTCTCCTCTTCTCCCTCAAGTCGCTCACCGCCAAGATGGACCCCACCACGCAGGACAAGTCCAACCTCGGCGTCCCTCAGCTGCCCGGGCAAGGCTGCTCCTTCCATAGCTTCCGCACCAACACCTACAAGCTCACTTTCATGGAGTCCCCTTCCGGCATTAAGGTTTGTTTCTTCAATTTTCTCCATTTTTCATTGCCTTTCAGATCTAGATATTGAGAAGAAAAAAAACAGGGTTTGAATTTTGATTGGAATGAAAGGATTTGCTGATTCTGTTGGCTATTTGATTATACTAGATGTCCCCAATTAGCAATTTAGATTCTTGATCTTGAATTTGTGCTTGGCTTGGCAATTTTGATGCGTGTTCGTTGTTTATACCAAGTTTTGTATGATTATTCTTAATCCACTGTTGATGTGATGGAAAAAAAACTTAACTTTATAATTGGTGTGCTCTGCTTACTGTTTTGGGTGTGCAGATCATATTGGTTACTCATCCTGGAACTAGTGACTTGAGGGAGTCGTTGAAGTACATTTACAACTTGTATGTCGAGTACGTTGTGAAGAACCCGCTTTACACTCCCGGAACTCCAATCGGGTAACTGACTCTGTTCTCGTCGTTATAATGTGGTGAATGATAATCTTCACACCAAGAAGTTTCATGTGATAGGTCACAAATAGTTATTCGTATAATTAATCACAGTGAGAAGTTTGGTAGATAGCAATCCCTGCTGCATTAACATATGTCAAACTCTTTCCTTGATTTCTTATCACGCTGATGCATCCCGTTGGGTTGGTCAAGTAATGATGAAGAAAATGTGTCCTTATATGTTGTGTTGCATTATAACAGATCTGATCTTTGAAGTAGTCGTTCTTAGTAGGCATGTCGAAATGTGTCGATGTATGAAACATGTCTGTCTATTCCTTGTGTAGGCATATTGAATTAGTATTTATGTTTGGCGGCTTAGGCATCTTAGATACTTCGTATGTACCTGACTCGTTGATGTCATGATACTATAAATAATTTCTTATTCCGTCACACCACTAGAAAGTCTTGTAGTTTCTTGCGATTTCTTTTTTAAATGTGTGGTTGTGTACTTTGTAAGGTTTTCACACAATCGGAAAAAGGTTTTTGAATTCCAGAGTAAGTTTTCCTTGTAGGTGTGAGCTATTCAACACGACTCTTGACCAGTACGTCAGGAGCATTTCATAGAAGCTCAAGGAAGCATTCAGTTAGCATTCTTTCTGCCGACATTTACTCTTACCTTGGACCGAAGCCGATGGACATTTGGGTTCATTCAGATGCAGGTCATTGAAATGTACCATGTCGTGGATAATTTCTGCAACTTGATTCTAAGAGTTTTACAATGAGATATGAGCGTACATTTTCATCCGTGCGGACTCGATGTGTTCAGTGGCATCATGTAGTGTCCAATTTGATTATGACAAATTGATTTGATGTAATATTGGAAGCATGATTTGTTAATTGTCATCAGTTACCGAATTGTTTGGCTTTTCTTATCAAATTTTTAGTGTTTCTATACCTCTTGCCGTAGGCTTCAATTAGTCTGTCGGAAAAAAACTCTAGTCTCATTGGTTTTTCGGATATCATGTATGTCGCAATTTCCTTTACCCATCACCACCAATTGGCCACTTGGTGGCCAGAAGAGCCAGGCAAGCTGATGCTAACGCGCCATCCTTCCCTAAGTTGCAAAGCATCCACATACTGCCCTACTGAGACGATGACAAAGCCCCATACATTGCCTCTGTCTGTGTCGGACTGCATGCCATTACCAGGCCCCTCATCGACGCAGGCACCGTCTCTTTCCCTTCCTCACCTCCTTCGCCAACCTTGAAACACACCATTGTCAGCGGAGATAGCTCATAGATGGAAGGATCGAATGAAATGGAAAAGATTGAATTAAGGAGAGAATAATTATCCACAGCCCCAACGGGGGTGTTTAATGGTCATTCCATGTGAGGGTCTTATAGTTCAGTTGAATAAGAACATTTACTATTGTGCTCGAGTTTCCGAGTTCGCATCCTCCCCTCCTCAAAAAATGTCATTGGGGTTTGGTAACGATTGGATTGGAAAAGGGACCAACAAAATGAATTGGTAGTTCCAAGGGTGGCGATGGATTGGAATAATCCTACAACATTCACTACTTGCGGTAGTTGGTGGACGCGCTCTAAAATCAACGCACGCATACTTCTCATTCCTCCATGAGTCCTCCACCAAGAAAACGGATATGAATTTCTCGTGGATTGTAATTTTGTTCGAATGTTGCATTGAAAGCTACTTGATTCTGGAAACTAGGGCTACATTGAGATACATTCAATTACGGAAATTGATTATTTTCCAGAATTAAATAAATAGTGTTCAAACTCTCACTCACCTCCAACCATGTTCCAAGGGTGGCAATGCCTGCCTGCGTGCAGTTGGTGGAACAAGTTGGACTCATTCCAAATTTCCGCACGCATGCTCCTTATTCCTCCGAGTCTTTCACCAAAATAACGGATTGGATATTTTTCATGGGAATTTTAACGAAAAACTTCAGGTACTGTTCACTTTAACGAAAAACCATATTTTAACACTAAAAAGTCAATCATGGTACTATTCATTTTACCGTTTATTTTGTCGTTATTGTTAAAACTCAAAATTTTCAAGTCATTTTCATTAGTTTTCCTTATTTTCATGGATTATTTCGTTTTGAAATTTTGCATCGAAAAGGACAATTGAAATGGGCAAGAACTATCAAGAATGGTGTAAAAGATTTTTTTGTATTTTGATTGATCAGAAATCTACACAAGCTTTAAGTAAATATAAAAGGGGGAAAGAGTTAAAGCATTGCACGTGCAACTCCTGAATTTAAGCTTTTGTAAGGCTATACAAGATCCCTTGAATTAAGGGGACTACATGACATTCCTTGATAGAGGGCCTCACCGACTACCATTAGGGTTCTTATATTATTATTTCAACACTCCTCCTCAAGTTGGAGAGTGTATGTCAAGAACTCCTAACTTGCGAAACATGGTTGAGAATGCATCCTTTCCCAACGCCTTTGTGAACAAATATGCTAGTTGGTGTGAGGAAGAGACATATTTTGTAACAACGGAACCATCTTGCACTTTGTCTCTGATGAAGTGACAATCAATCTCTATATGTCTAGTCTTATCATGGAAGACGGGGTTAGCAACTATGTGTAAAGCTGCTTGGTTATCACAATGCAATGTCGCGACACCAGGATGTGATAAGCTCAGGTCTTTGAGAAGATGTCGAAGCCAAGACAATTCACAACAAGCACCTGTCATAGCTCTGTATTCAGCTTCAGCTGAAGATAAGGAAACCGTCTTTTGTCTTTTTGATCTCCAAGAAATCAAAGAAGATCCTAAGAATATGCAATAACCTGTTGTAGACCTTCGGGTGATTAGGCAACATGCCCAGTTCGAGTCACAATAAGCTGTCAGAGCTAAATTGTGATGTGAGGAAAAGAAAAGGCCCTGACCTGGTGTGCCTTTGATATACCTTAGAACACGAAATGCTGCCTGTATATGTGGCTTATGTGGTTCATGCATAAAACGGCTCAACAAATGCACATAATAAGTAATGTCAGGACAAGTGATAGTCAAGTAGATCAAACGCCCAACAATTCTTCTATACTAAGATGGATCTTTAAGCAATTCTCCTTTGTCTGAAAGCTTCAAATTTTGTTCCATTGGGAAGTTCACTGGCCGTGCCCCCAAGAGGCCAACATCCTTCAAAATCTCCAAAGCGTATTTCCGTTGTGAGAGGGAAAAACCTTTGTGTGAACGTGACATTTCAATCCCCAAAAAATACTTCAAGTTTCCGAGATCTTTGATTCGAAAGCGACTGTGTAGAAACCTTTTAAGAGAGGATATGGCAGCCATATTATTTCCAGTAATGACGATGTCGTCCACATAAATCAAAAGGGCCGTGAATGACTTTCCTTTTTTATGAGTAAAAAGAGAGTAATCAGCTTTGGATTGTACAAAACTAGCAGTTTGAATAGCAGTGGAGAACTTAGCAAACCATTGACGAGAAGCTTGCTTTAAACCATATAACGACTTGTTGAGGCGACACACTAAACTCTCCCTTTGTCATAGAAAACCAGGAGGGGTGACATATAGATTTCCTCATGAAGATCACTATGCAGAAATGCGTTATTAACGTCCAGTTGGTGAATGAACCAATTTTGAGCAGAAGCAAGAACTAATAAACATCGAACATTAGTCATTTTAGATGTGGGTGAAAAAGAATCATGGTAGTTAATGTCTTCCATTTGAGTGTAGCCCTTGGCTACCAAACGCGTTTTGTAACGCTCAATGGTTCCATCAGAACGCCGTTTGATCTTCTAAACCCATCTGCAACTAATATGAGATTTTCCGGGAGGAAGAAAAGTAAGAGTCCAAGTGTGATTTTCTACCAATGCTTGTAATTCAGAATGCATTGCGGCCTGCCAGTGAGGACTAGAAGCGACCCTTGTATATGTGCTAGGCTCCTCATCATGAGTAACATGAGCAATGTAAGCAAAATGATCGAGTGAGTAACGGTGATAAGATAAGAAATTACTCAATGGATACCGTGTACCTTTACAAATACTTGACGACGAAGACGACGATGGTTTGGGTGTGGGCAGCGTCATTTGTGAGCATACATAATCACCGAGGTAAACAGGGGTAGTGCGATGACGTTGGGGTCGCCCAGTAGAGTCTGGTGGAGCTATATAGTCATCAGTGGAAAAATGAGGATTTATGGGATTGGGTGGAGATGTGTCAGAGGTGGTTGTATTGGGTGAAGTGGGTGGATAAGTGTCTGAAAGGGTAGGATGGGATGAGGCATGGAGACATGGTGGACTAGATGTTTCTAGAATGGATGGAGAAATGATGGATGGAGAAGAATGAGGTCAACAATAGGGTAAAGATGCAGGTTTGTAGTAGGTTCTACCGTGGGAGAAGATGGCAAGGTCTGAAAAGGGTAGGTATTTTCATGAAAAATGACGTCCCGGTTCATAAAAATTTGTTTTGTTGTTAAATCATAAAGTTTGTATGCCTTTTGCCCGAAAGGATAACCAAGAAATGCACAACGCCTAGCTCGTGCATCAAACTTATGAGAAACATGTACATTGGTCGCATAGGCAAGACATCCAAACACACGTATATAAGAAAAAGTGGGAGGTTTAGCATGAAGTAGTTCATAAGGTGTTTTGTAATGGAGAAGAGGGGTTGGGAATCTATTTATACGGTGTCCAGCGGTTAACACACAATCCCCCCAAAAAGGTAATGGAAGATGAGCTTGATAACGCAAAACACGTGCCATTTCAAAAAGGTGACGGTGCTTGCGTTCTACAACCCCATTTTGTTGAGGCGTATAGACGCATGAATGTTGAAAAACAATCCCAATATCCTTAAAAAAAGGACGTAAAGAAAGGAACTCCCCACCATTATCGGTTCGAATTGTTCGTACTTGTGTTTGGAATTGTGTTTGCACAAAGGAAAAAAAACTTTTAAGTAGGCTTTGTGTTTCACTTTTATGATGCATGAGGAAGACCCATGTAAACCTAGAATAATCATCTACCACTGTTAAAAAGTAATTGGCTCCAGAAAGAGAACTTATCTTATAAGGACCCCAAATGTCACAATGGATGAGATCAAAAGGTTTCTTAGTAGTAATTGAACTAATGCCAAAAGGAAGACGATGTTGCTTGGCCAATAGACATATGTCGCAAGCAGCATTCAACTTAAAAGGGATATGCAAAATATTTTTTGCCATAAATTCTAATTGAGATGGTGATATGTGACCCAAACGTCGATGCCATAATTCAGTGGAGGAGGTGACAAGGTTGCATGAAGGTTTGACAAAAGATGTTGGCCTTTCTAAAGCGAGCGCCACTAAGTGATACTGTCTTCCATGCTGTTTACCCAAACCAATCGTTTTCTTCATAGCCAAATCCTGCAAAATGCACCAGTAAGGGAAACATGTTACTGAACAAGCCATGGCGCTAGTGACCTTGCTTACAGACATTAAGTCAACTTTGAAAGTTGGCACATATATTACATCTTGCAAATGAATTGAAGAATTTAAAGATAAATTCCCAATGGATGTGATAGGAGCCTCCTGTCCACTAGGCATTTGAACAGGTGGTAAGGTGACACTCTTGGTACAACGAGTGAGTGAATTTGGTGAAGATGTAATATGGTTTATCGCACCACTGTCGATTATCCATCGACGAAGGCGCTTCAGAGGTTTTAACAAACCTGATGAGTTTTCAGTGGCATTGGCGGCGACATTGGCTTTAGGAGCATTCTGTGTTGTCTCATTGTTGTTCATAATGGACAGTATCTGCTGAAATTGAACGTTAGAGAGACCAGGTACATCGGAATGCAGTTCTTGCAGAGAATCCCCATTGGTGGTATTGTTGGCAAAAATTCCATGGCATTTGTTGCGTTCACTGCCGTTGTTTCCACGCTTACCACCTTTGTTGCTATGATGAAGACGATGTTCGGGAGGATATCCGTGCAGTTTGTGGCATGTGTCAATGGTATGGTGGGTGGTGTCACAAAAAGTGCAGTGGAGTTGTTTACGGGAAAATAAGCTGCTACCAATTTGGCTGCCAGTTTACAACTTCTACCATTGACGAACCACCATTGCTGATACCTCTGCAGCTTCACGTGAATCACTCACATTGCGCTGTTTTTCTTGCTAGACAATCATGGAATACACTGAACGCACAGAGGGCAATAGACTCATCATCAGGATGTTGCCACGCATAGCACCATAAGACTCGTTGAGACCCATGAGGAATTGCATTAATTTGGTTCTCTTCGTTTGATCACCTTGCTTCTTTAAAGCACCACAGGTGCAAGACTTATGATCATTGTAGGATGCAAGTTCATCCGACAAACTCTTCAGTTTGGTATAATAAGCAGCAACAGATAATTGGTCATGAGAAATAGAAGCTATTTCTCGTTGAATTTGATAAATTCTAGGTGCATTACCTTGGCTAAAACGATCTTCAAGATCTTGCCAAATCGCTTGGGGTGTGGTGTAGTAAACAATGTTATCATGGATAGTTTGGTCAACTGAATTCAAGATCTAAGAAACGATCATGTCGTTGCACCGTTTCCAGGAAGCAAAGTCATTTGGTTTCTTGCTTTCATCAGGAGCCTTTAGTGTGCCATCCACAAAACCCAGCTTGTTCTTAGCACTCAGAGAAAGCTTCACAGAACGACACCAAGTGGAGTAATTGTCTCAGTTGAAAAGCTTGGAGACGAGAACCATCGCCGGATGGTCGGAATGGTGAATGAAAAAAGGACTGGAAATGTCTGACTTGTTTCCATCCGAACTCTGTTCACCAACCATGAAAAAACAACGATACAGAAGAAAAAAAAATGCAGAGAAAAAAAATGTAACGGGAAGAAACTAGGGTTTGCTTGGATTTCCCTAGCTCTATGATACCATATCAAGAATGGTATAAAAGATTTTTTTTGTATTTTGATTGATCAGAAATCTACACAAGCTTTAAGTAAATATAAAAGGGGGAAGGAGTTAAAGCACTACACGTGCAACTCCTGAATTTAAGCTTTTGTAAGGCTATACAAGATCCCTTGAATGAAGGGGACCACATGACATTCCTTGATAAAGGGCTTCACCGACTACCATTAGGGTTCTTATATTATTATTTCAACAAGAACCATATTGACCCGCAATTTAAAGATGAAAAAGACATTTCCAGACGGAAAAAGATCCTCGCAGGATCATCTTTACGAGTATTCAAGAGATTTTGTAATCATATCTGTTCATCGTATATCGTACGGTCATAAATTATTTAAATTTTAAAATTTAAAATTGATTATAAATATTACTTAACGAAAACTGATCGCACAATGTACAATGAACGGACATGATTATAAGATCCTCGTAATATTCACAAAATGAATCCGACAAGAATCATTTTCCAGATAATAAATTCAGAAATTTTGATTTCCCAATAAGAAAAAAGTAGACGGATAACATTTTTTTATTTCTTATTTTTATCAACAAAAATGATCGAGTAATGAAGGAAGAACCGAAGAAGTAGATAAGAACAAGTGTGATACTGGTAAAACTCTCACAAACACAGAGAACTATGGAGGCGCCAGCTATAGTTTTATATCCATCACCACCAATTGGCCACTTGATCGCCATGGTAGAGCTAGGCAAGCTCATACTCACCCGCCAACCTTCTCTGTGCATTCACATCCTCGTCACCACCCCGCCCTACCGCGCCGACGACACCGCCTCATACATCACCTCCGTCTCCGCCGCCACCCCTTCCCTCATCTTCCACCACCTCCCCACCATCTCCCTCCCTCCCTCCCTCACCTCCTCCCGCAACCACGAAACCCTAACCTTCGAACTCGTCCCCCTCAACAACCCTTACGTCCACCAAGCCCTCCTCTCCATCTCCCACAGCTTCTCCATCAAAGCTTTTGTCATGGACTTCTTCTGCGCTCTCGGGCTCTCCGTCGCCACCGAGCTGAACATCCCCAGCTTCTTCTTCTTCACATCCGGCGCTGCCTTCCTCGCCAGCTTCCTCTACCTCCCCACCATTCACAACATCACTGACAAAAGCCTCAAAGACCTAAATACCCTTCTCAACATTCCAGGAGTCCCGCCGATGCCTTCCTCCGATATGGCGAAACCGACTCTTGACCGAAGCGACAAGGCGTACGAACATTTCCTAGCAAGCTCAAGCCAGTTCCCCAAATCAGCTGGGATCATCGTAAACACGTTTGAATCTCTCGAATCTAGAACTCTCAGAGCAATATCGGACGGTCTGTGCTTGACCGAGAACATTCCCACGCCGCCGGTCTACCCCATCGGACCGCTGATTGTTTCCCACGGCGGTGGAGGCCGCGGGGCCGAGTGTTTGAAATGGCTGGACTCACAGCCAAGTGGAAGCGTGGTGTTCCTCTGTTTCGGGAGCTTGGGATTGTTTTCAAAGGAGCAGTTGAAGGAAATTGCGATTGGGTTGGAGAACAGTGGCCACAGATTTTTGTGGGTGGTCCGTAATCCGCCAGCCCAAAATCAAATTAAGGTGGCCATTACAGGCCAGTCCGATCGGGAATTGAAATCTCTACTCCCGGACGGGTTCTTGGATCGGACCAAGGACCGGGGGCTCGTGGTCAAGTCGTGGGCCCCGCAAGTGGCGGTGTTGAATCACGACTCAGTGGGTGGGTTTGTGAGTCATTGCGGGTGGAACTCGGTGTTGGAATCGGTGTGTGCCGGTGTGCCGATTGTGGCTTGGCCGCTCTACGCCGAGCAGAGATTCAATCGAGTGGTTTTGGTGGAGGAGATTAAGATTGCTTTGCCGATGAACGAGTCAGAAGATGGGTTTGTGAGAGCGGCGGAGGTGGAGAAGCGAGTTACGGAGTTGATGGACTCGGAGGAGGGCGAGTTGATGAGGAAGCGTACAAAGGCTATGCAAAACGAAGCCCATGCAGCGTTGGGTGAGACCGGGTCGTCTGGGGTTGCATTGACTAAACTACTTGAAATGTGGGGCAATACTGGTTCGAGCAGTTCCACCCTGGGAAAGCTCGCAGGCAACGCTATTTAATTTATACAGTGATCATTAACTGTCTTTAATAAATTGTAACTGTCTTTTACATCTTCATCATTATATTGAATAGTCCTAACAATAGACAATAAAATATTAATATTTTATTTATTTATAAAATAATACAATTTAACGATTAACGTGTTCACACTTATATGCGTGTCGATGTTGTGTATCAATGTGGGTGACCACTATATATATCCCTCCATCATCTTCTCACTTGGTGCAGATATTTTAATATCCCAGATCAAATAAAATAGTTGAAAATACTGATGGGTAGTGAATGCTCAATGTCTTGGTGGAGTTTTTCAATGCCCTTACAGATTGGTTTTTAACATTGACATTGTTTATGACTACACACACATTGTCAATTCCCATAATAGATTGAAATTGACTTTGGAGATGCAGGAGATCATATTTTCCAAAAGATTGCTGTAATTTTTCAATGTGTAATTAATGTATCAGTATTGAAGTTGCTCTATAAATAGAGCACTCCGTATACTTTCAAGGTACATAGAGAAAATCATAGAGAAAAACATACAGACTGAAAGAAAGAAAGATAAATAACATCATCTATTTCTCTGTCTTTAATTTGTCATCCACTTAAGTTATAATTACGGTGTGGTACTTTACATCTGCCTTGTATCTATCACTAAAAAGGTTATCACTCTAACTTTTACATATTTATAACACGTTATCAGCACGAGTCTCTAAATATAACTATTCTCTCATTTCTCTTCGCCGAATGAAAAAAATGTTTCCTATAAGGTTTTTACTGTTCATCTTCTTCCTCTGCCTCAATTGCACGGTATACCCTCGCGATGAACTGTTTGCTCCATGCCTACTCTTAGTTCTCAACCTAACGGTTACATACATCTTTGATTTCTAGTTTGATTTGGATATTGATTACTAACACATTGTTTATTTATGTCAATTTTACTGCAATCCAAGATGGTACGGTACAATCGTCCATCTTGAACTATAAATTTATTCTTACTGCGATCCAAGATGGTGTGGTATCGTCACCTATCTTGGACTGCATATCTAATTTTACTGCAAATTTTAAGTGGAGCAGTATAATAGCACACCCTACCCTGCATATTTAAAATTTGCATGCTGTTTAATTTCACTGCAATTTTAGGTGGTGCGGTATAATCGCCCACCCTGCTCTGCGTATTTAAATTTTCCTACTGCTTGAGTGGTGCGGAATAATCGCCCATTCTATGTTACATTATTTCAATGAGAATGGTGCAGTACAATCGCGCTCCTCATTCACCTTGAAAATCTCGAGCCAGAAGCTTCGAGTGCTTATCATTTTGGCCTGAAAATCAAAATGAAAAAATTGTAAGAACCAGAAGTTCTAACACTATATTCCTTCAGGAATACATATTATTACAAGTTCTTACACATCTCATTTTCTTTTAGCAAAGAAAATGGCGAACTTGACGAAGCTTGATTATGCTGCCCTGGACATTACCGGAAGAATTACCCGACCTGGGTACTAGATACCAAGATCCATCTGGAAGCATGGAATCTTAGAGATACCATCAAGGAAGAGAACAACTTATCTTCTCAAGATCGGGCGAATGCCATGATCTTTATTCGTCACCATCTTGATGAGGCACTAAAGAGCGAGTACTTAACGGTTGAAGATCCGTTAGCTTTCTGGAAGGCCTTGAGAAACATATACAATCACCAGACAACGATCCAGAATTTCAAGTCAGTGGTTGAGCACAATTCTGCGTTGTTCAGAATTACCTCTTAGATGAAGCTCTATGGGGATACCATTACTGAGGAAGATATACTGGAAAAAACTTTCAGCATATTTCATGCCTCTAACGTGTTTTTCCAGCTGATATCTGTGCTCCTTAATACAACCAGCTGATATTTGTGTTCCTGGTAGCTGAACAAAACAATGAGCTCCTGATGAAAAACCATAATTTCATACCTATTGGATTTGCACCATTCCCAAAAGTGAATGCTGCTTCCCTCGAAGTGAACGCCACATCCTCTGGTGGTGATAATCATAAACGAGGACGGGGCCACAAGCGAGGTCGGTGGAACAGGAAAAGCAAGAACCATGGAGTTCAATTTCACAACCAGGTTTCGAGGCATAGTTCAGACCTTAGCTTTAAAAATGTGAATCGCCACAAAGGCAAAGCTCATATGAACAATGCTCCCAGGAACTCTAAAAGAGTCTGCCATATATGTGGTGGCAATGGGGCATTGGCCGCGTACTTGTCGTACCCCAAAACATCTGGTGGATCTGTATCAAGCCTTCCTCAAGGAGAAGGGTGTCGAGACCAATTTTCTCGACCAGGCTAGACCAATGGATATACCTGATCCAGTGTGCGACTTATCAGGACAGTTGAACACAACCCACTTAGATGTTTTAGACTTTATTGTGGAAAGGGGAAATGAAATATACCAGTCCGATTGAATCATTGATGTACTTTTATTATGTTGAACTTGTAGTTTAAAAGCATTTCAGATTCAATAAAAGTGGCATGTAAATTTCTTGTTATAACTTGCTTTTAACTTTGATTCTTTTACTCAAAGAGCATGGATAAAAACTATGGTCATTCTCAAAACATTAGAAATGGTGAAGATATTTGTCTTGCAGACTGCGCAACAACGCATATAATACTTCCAGATCGAAAGTATTTCTCAAGATTGATGCTTACAAAAGTACGGGTAACAACAATATCAAGACCTTTAGATGTAATTGAAGGCTCAAGGAAAGCTCAGATTATGTTACCAAATGGAACAATATTGTCCATACAGAATGTGTTGTACGCTACTCCATTTACTTGAAATTTGTTGAGTTTCAAAGACATACGTTTAAATGGATACCACATTGAAATGAAAAGTACAGAAAATGTGGAATATCTATGCATTACCTCCAGTGATACCCAAAAGCGTATATTGGAGAAGTTACATGGTTTGTCGAGTGGATTGTATTATACATACATAAAGACAGTTGAATCACATACTGTCATGAACCAGAAGTTCATTGATTCAAAAGTTTACATGCTTTGGCATGACCGTCTGGGTTATCCAGGATCTACCATGATGTGTAGGATCATTACCAACTCTAATGGACATCCATTAGTGATCAGACACATTGCTATCTCAAATGATAACCCTTGCAAGGTTTGTTCTCAATGGAAGTTGGTAATTAGACCATCACAACTAAAGGTTGATGCTAAATCCCCATCATTTCTACAAAGAATTCAAGGGGATATTTGTAGACCTATTCAACCATCATATGGACTATTTCGATATTTTATGGTTTTGGTTGATATATCTAGCCGATGGTCATATGTTTTTCTTTTGTCTAACCGGAATGTAGCCTTTGCGAGACTTCTTGCTCAAATAATTAAGTTACAAGCACAGTTCCAGATTACCCCATTAAGTCAATCCGACTTGATAACGCTGGTGAATTTACGTCTCAAACTTTTGATGATTATTGCATGACATTAGGCATTGATGTTGAACACCCTGTTCCTCATGTCCATACTCAAAATGGTTTAGCAGAAGCATTGATCAAACGACTTCAGTTAATAGCTCGCACTCTGCTTATGAAAACCAAATTGCCAATCTCTGCATGGGGACATATCATCTTACATGCTGCATCATTGTTTCGATTGAGACCTATAACCAACCATCAATACTCATCAGTACAACTCGTGTTTGGACATCAGCCAAACATTTCATATTTACGATTTTTTGATTGTGCTATTTATGTGCCTATTGCACCGTCGCAACGCACTAAAATGAGACCTCAACGTAAACTGGGAATTTACGTAGGTTTTGATTCACTATCTATCATTAGATATTTGGAACCCTTGATAGGTGATATGTTTACAGCTCATTTTGCTGATTGTCACTTTAATGAGACAGTCTTCCCGTCATTAGGGGGAGAAAATACCGTTCCAGAAGAACGGAAAGAGCTAACATGGGTTGTTCCCACCTTGTCTCATTTTGATCCTCAAAACATTTAATGTGAAAATGAAGTAAAAATGATCGTTCATTTTCAAAGTATTACTAATCAAATGCTAGATGCATTTAATGATGCTATGATAGTGACAAAATCACATATACCAGTTGCAAATACACCTGCAAGAATTGATGTCCCTGTTGGACAAAATAAAGTGGCAGTAAATGATTCATCTGGTGCACGCCTGAAGCGTGGTAGATCTCCAGGTTCAAAAGATTCAGCCTCTCGAAAGAGAAAGTCGAGGGCACAACTGAATCCAAATGAAATCATTCAAGAAGAAAAAATGAATGACACATCCACAATTCATGATTATGTACTTTCAAGAAAAGAAAATGTCCTTGATGAGACACATGTCCCTGAAGAAACAGAGGTACATGAAATTAAAGAAATCTCGATAAATTATGCATGTACAAATGAATTGTGGGATCGGAATGAAATAATCACCGATGATATGTTCGCATTCGCAGTAGCCACTGAAATCATATTAAGTGATGATATTGAGCCCCGCTCTGTTGATGAATGCAAACATAGATAGGATTGGCCAAAGTGGAAAGATGCAATCCAGACTGAATTAAATTCCTTGGAAAGGCGGAATGTTTTTGGACCAGTAGTTCAAACCCCGCCTAGTGTAAACCCCGTGGGTTACAAATGGGTATTCATAAGGAAACGCAATGAGAAAAACGAGATTACAAGATATAAAGCACGACTCGTTGCACAAAGTTTTTCTCAAAAACCTGGAATTGATTATGAGGAGACATACTCTCTTGTAATGGACCTAATTACGTTACGTTACTTAATAAGTTTAGTGGTTTCAGAAAGACTTGACATGCGACTTATGGATATCATCACCGCGAATCTATATGGAGAATTAGATACTGACATATATATGAGAGTCCCAGAAGGACTTAAGTTGCCTGAAACAAGTAACAAACCACGAGGTATGCTCTCAATCAAATTAAGGTGATCATTGTATGGGTTGAAACAATCTAGACGAATGTGGTATAATCGTCTTAGTGAGTATTTGATCAAAGAAAAGTATATCAACAATGTCATTTGCTCTTGTGCGTTCATTAAGAAATCCAACTTTGGATTTGCTAAAGTGGTAGTATATGTTGATGATATGAACCTAGTTGGAACTCCTGAGGAACTTAATAAAACTGCTGAATATCTAAAAAGCGAATTTGAAATGAAAGACCTTGGAAAAACAAAATTTTGTCTCGGCCTACAGATCGAGCATTGTGCTAGTGGAATTTTGGTCCACCAATTAGCTTACATTGAAAAAATTCTGAAGCGATTTAGTATGGACAAGGCTTATCTACTCAGCACGCCAATGGTCGTTCGTTCTTTGAACATTAAGAAAGATCCATTTCGTCCAAAAGAAGATGATAAACTGGTCCTTGGTCCAGAAGTACCATATTTGAGTGCAATATGTGCTTTGTTGTATTTAGCACAATGTACTAGACCAGATATAGCTTTTTCAGTTAACTTGTTAGTAAGGTATAGCTCTGCTCCAACAATACGCCATTGGAAGGGTATCAAATTTATGTTTATATTTTAAAATATTATTAACCACACTAACATTTATATTTTAAAATATTATTAACCATACTAACATTTATATTTTAAAATATTCACATTTATATTTTAAAATATTATTAACCACACTAACATTTATATTTTAAAATATTATTAACCATACTAACATTTATATTTTAAAATATTCACATTTATATTTTAAAATTTTCAAGGTATTACACCATGCCTCTTGGTACTCTACTTTTTAATCTCACTTCGCCTTTGAAACTCAAATTACACCACTATGCCTCCTAAAACTTAATTTTTGCATCACTTTTCCATATTATGTCAATTCCATTAAAAAACATGTTTAGTCTCTGATTTTACGTGGCATGGGCTAAGTTGTTGAAGTAGGATTCTCTCCTCTCTAATTCTCCTACCTTTTCCTCCCCTTCTCTCTTACCTTTTTTTTTTTTTCTTTTCTGATGTGAATTAATCGTGACCGTTCAAATAAGAGAAGAAGAAAAAAGAGGAAAATTTGAAGGGAAGATAATCATACTCCTAAGTCCTAACATGTTTCTATTGTGATTGCCATGTGGTACACAGAAAATTTAAAAAATATCTTGATATTCTGAAAACTAAAAAAATATAAAAACATGCAAACTCTTCCCTTCCCATCCTTCCGTCACCGCCGCACCTTCCCTGTCTTAATCCAAACCACCCACCCAACTCAAATCGAAATCCACAACTCTGGCAACTTTCCAAAAAAATAAAAAATAAAAATCGATCTCTGGATTTAAAAACTAGGCACAAACCTCTAGCTAAATGAACTCCGTATTGCTACGTTACATTTTAGTTTGTTCGAAGATATTGATTTAAAGATAAGGTTAGGGAGACCAAAATTTTAAACTAAAATATGCAAATCAAAATTTGGTTGTTGATGATTTAATTATGGGTAATGTTAAAGAGACTAAATTTGTAAACTAAGTGTTGGAAACTAAAGGACATGAAAGTTTATAATTGATTTATTACTTAAGCGTTGATAAACGTGCTCATTCCTATTGGTGACACATCATTTAGTTTGCAAATTTAGTATCTCTAGCATTACCCTTGAATTAGTGATTTATTGTCGATTAACGTGCTTCTTTTCTATTAGTGATACATCATTTGGTTTGCAAATTTGATTTAAAAATTTGGTCTTCGTAACATTATCTTTAGCTTTATATCTTGACATGGTTGATGGTTTTTTAAGGTATGCAATTATCAATTTAGAACTTGAAGTCGAAACTCTTAAAATTTATTTGTTACTGTAAATAAACAACTCTTTGTGTCTTTAGAATATTAGAATCTCTCAATAATAGAGTACTTCAATAGTGTTTGTGCATGGAATTGCGAAATGCTACATGGTTGACCGGCCAACAGTGACAAAATGACGAGAATGCGTTGAGCTGGTCACGGGGTAACGTCAAGAAATTAAACTAAAAGAAACTCATGACCGTGACATTGCACTGATTCATTAGAAAGGCAAACAAACTTTCCTTTTCTTTATTTTCAACTTCTTTCGGATTGAGATTCTCCACGGATCCCTTCTATATGTATCCTTTGGGTCCTCAATTCTTGAGCTGGAGAGAGAGATAGAAAAGAGGGAAAAAGATGAACATGAAAAGATGATCAGGAAAGAATTCCTAGTGGTTCAATTTTCAGTTGAACGGACATGATTGAAAGTTCTTGAGGATTTGGATGAAGGGATCCATAGAGGATCCTATTCCAACTTCTTCGTGACTCCTTCAACTTCACCACCCGACAACCAAACCTCTCTCATCAGAATATACATGTTTAAGGCTGTGACGATCTTGGATTCTTCCCTCTCCTCTCTCACAATCTCGATGCACTGCGCATCATTTCGCTTCCTGAAGGGACCCGTGACACAAGATGTAGGGCCTCTGCTGATTACATATTGTTCTAACTTCTACCATTCTACACAACAACCCACTCCCTGACCAATCAGCATCTTCATCATTTCACTCAATTCACTACGTACGGCTCCCATGATATATTCAGTTTTTATGCATGTGGTGTGCTTGATTTAGATCTCAATGATCAATTCAAACAATGAGACAATGATATGTTAAATTCTATCATCTATAATTTTGCAAAAGTCTAAATTTATAAAACGCCAATTCAATAATATTCAATTTTTTTACAATAATTTGTAGTTCAGATGATTAAAAATAGGGTGTTTTAGATTTACCCCCTTACAACTGTTGAACTCTAGACATAAACCCACCTATATTAAAACATCTAAATAAAACTCAAATTTTGAATTTGATGTCATGTAAGATAAAAGATGTCCATACATTTAAATTTATTTACAACACCATGCCACCAACATTAATATGGCTATTACGGTTTTTTTGTAGACTTTTAATTTATTGTCCTTTGTTTGTCAACAACATTCAATTAATTCAAGTTTTTTTTGCTTTTAATTTAAAAAAACAAAAAAAGAAGAAGTTCTTTTCTTCTTTTATGTGAAATCGCCTAATCCAAATCTAATTAGTTCAATATACATTCTATTGAAAAAGTAGATACATTAACTTGTGAAAATAAAAAAATAAAAAAAAGGTAAAAATAAACTTGTAGATACATTGTTTCTTGTAAAAAACTAAACAATAGTTACATTATTTTCATAAAAAAAAATAAACAATGTGTAATTTTTTTTTAAATTACACAATAGGTACACAATTTTCGTAAAAATTAAATAGTAGGTACTTTACTTTTGGAAAAAAAAAAAAAAAAAAAACTAGTAGAAACATTGTTTCTTTTAAAAATTAAACAATGAATTTATAAGGTAAATTAGTTTTTATGTATTTTGCATGTATGGGTTTGTTATTATGTAGGTAAATTATTTTTCATGTATTTTACATATACTGGGTATATTATTTTTCTTTTTTTAAGCAATCTAATATTTTAAAATTTTAATAGTAGGTGCACTATTTGAATCAAATGTTTTTTTTTTTGCAGGTAAATTATTTTGCATGAATTTTGCGTATATCAAGCATTTATATATATGTGTGTGTGTGTGTGTGAAATAATTTTCCTACATTAATCTGTAAAATATAATTTTATTGAATTAATTAAGCAATAAAGCTTGTATAATAACATATATTAGACATGTTTTATGTTATTATATATTAGGCAATGAATTTGTAACATTTTTTTTTTTTTTTTTGTAAAATCATTAATTCTCTCTTACCATCTATCCGCATGGCATTAATTATGTACATCAAACATTCAAATAGGGTTTATAAAAATAAAAAAAAATTCAAATAGGGGTATTTTAGGCATCCAAAATTTTTCAATGTGTGAAGTTAAACATAATTAATGAATTTGCTAATGTGGAATCTAGTTAATGGGTTTTATTCAAGAAAAAAACTTATGTCGGGTTTTAGGTAGAGAAAATTAAGTTTGAGGGGCTAAAGTTATATTTTCAGTTAAAAATATTGTGTTTATAAGCGAGATTTTTTGAATGAATTTTTTACCTTGGTATGGCTTGTATCAAAAGCAAAACCTAATTTTTGATTTGAACTAAAATGAACAAACAAATATTCACTTTCAACTTATTTCATATAGTATTTATCGATCGACATCAACAATTATATACATCAAGCTCAAGGAGCTGTACCTTTTATTTGTCCATACATATGGAGGGGGCTATTACAGTAGCCAGCTTCAGTTTTTTGGCAATTAAGCAAATAAAAATCAAGAACACAAGCATATATACTAATTTATTGTACGGTTTATACCTTAATATTTAACTGTAATTTTCCCACCTTCACTACTTTGATCTCGAAACCCTTCTGGTCAAGACCATCAAACAAAGAACACGATATAACACGAAAAACCCTAGCAGGATGTGAATATTAGTCCACCTCTGCCTTTCATGCAGCCCTCTCTTCTGCAACACGTCGCCCCCCGTAACCATGCAAACTTTACTATCACTCTTACTCTCTTGGTACCATATCAAACACTTTGACACAAGGCAGCCGTACTCGTTGATTAGAAGAGCATCGAGGGCATATTTGTACATGGAGAAAAAGTGCATGAAGAGCCAGTACTTAGGCATGTTATGTTGAGAGATGAAGTAGCCGGAGAAGAGAAAAAAACCACCTAAAAGTATTGTCACGAGCGAAGTTCCGGCAATGTAGTTGGGGGCTAAAGAGCTCAAGAGCAAGACGAACGAGTTCGCCATTAGAAGAATGATCCATATGACAAGAACAAAATAAGCAAACGTTTGCCAAGAACCGCAAAGACCCACCAAGAAATAGACTGAAACGGAGTATATGATCGCGATGGTAAGCAAGTAGGGCAAGAAAACGAGAGTGTTGGCGATGAGGTAGGAGGAGAGCCGGTAGATTCCACCAGACGTTTCTCGGAGGAAGATCGGCCTTTCGTTGATGAAGATCGGAAGGGTTTCGGTGGCGGAGGAGAGGAGGAATGTAAGAGTGAAGGCGAAGAGCCCGAATCGCTTTTCGATTCCTTGCTTGTCGACTCCAATGTTGATGTAAATAGTTCCCAAAATAAGACCTACAAGAAGTGCTTCAAGAGTGTTAGTCAAAAAAAGCTGCCTTGTTCTGTAGATGATTTTCCAAAACCGGTTGTATAGAGCCAATATCTCTTGAATTCTAGAGCTCTTGTATCTAATGACTTGCCTAATTGCCTGCTTATCATGTTTCATAGGATCATTAGGAGGTGATGATGTGGTTGTTGTAGATGTGATGGGAGGGAGACGGTTCAGAATTTCCATGGTGTATTCCAAAGCATTGAGTTGTGGAGGGACAGTGAAGCCATTGGAGAGAAGAAAAGCTTCGAGAGAAGAAAGGGTTCCATGGTGGACAATTGACCCTTTTGATAGCAAGAGGATTCTATCAACGGTGGAGAGGATTTTGAAGCTGGGTTGGTGGATTGATAAGATCACAGTGCGATGACGTGAGGTGCAGATGGAATTTAGGGTTTGGATTACGTTGAAAGCGGAGGTGCTGTCGAGACCTGAGGTGGGTTCGTCGAGAAGGAGGATAGCAGGGTCGTGGAGAAGGCTCAGGCCTATTGAGACACGCCTGCTTTCGCCTCCTGATAGGCCTTGGCCGAGGCGGGTGTTGGACAAATGTGTGAGCCGGAGCTCGGTTAGAAGAGAGGAGACAATAGCGGCAATGTTTTTAGGATTAGGGTTGGGGACGAGGAGGCTTGCGGCAAAAGCAAAGGTTTCAAAGACAGTGAGGAGGGGAAGGCATGCGTCGTGCTGAGGGACATAGGCTGAGAGCTTGCGGAATGAGGAAGGGTTGACGGGGGAAGAGTTCAGGAGGAGATAGCCGCCTGTGGGTGACCTCCGGGCGGCTAAGATGTCTAGGAGGGTTGATTTTCCGGCACCGCTAGGGCCTACAATGGCGAGGATTTCGGACGGGTAGGCGGTGAGCGAGATGTCTTTGAGAATGTAGGTGGGGGTGGGGAGGACGCATTGCTTGAAGAGGAGGTGAAATGGGGAGAAGATGGTGGTGGCTGTGGTTGGTTTGGTGTAGGATATGGAAGAGGCTGTTAATTCATAGGTTTTAGAGGGTGGTTGAGGTGGTGGTGCATCTGATTCCATGGAGTTTTAGCTGGTGGGGTTGGATATGGAGAAGAAAGAAAAGTTGGAATATTACTTGAAGAAGTGAGGAAGAGAGAGGGATGCATGTATACAGTTGAAAATTATTGTGTGACGATGATATTATTTTTTTTTCGTTGAGTTTGTCATGTAATGTTGGTGGATTACTATGAGTTAAAAGGCCAAAATTAATTAAATAGGTTGGGGATTGAAGATATGGATGAAGTCAAGTTGGCCAGCAAAGGTAATGTTTGTGTTTCATCTGCACTAAGTTTGATTTTTTTGTTATTTAAATTAATCAAATTCAATTAGTAATTTCGCTCGCATAAAGGAATTTGAGATTTTTTTCGTTCAACTTCTCATTTTATTATGATGATTGAAGTTTTAATCTTATAAGTTATAACTATTGATATTGAACTAAAACTAGGAATTAGACATGCATGGAACTTGCTTTTTCATCTCACTGAATAAGAAAAAAAAAAGGGTTAAAATATAAAGTAATCTAAGTAAAGTGCAAGTAAAAGAAATTTTGAGTAGTTGTGGAAGTCAAGTTGGAAAATTGGCCAATGTGTTGCATAAATCAGCATGTGAGCAATCCATTTTTTCTTTTTTTTTTTGTATATCACTCCAAACTCACAAGCCTACTTCTGTGCTCTCAATCTGTCATATGCTTTTGTCTGAGAATATAGTATCGAGGTTTGGATAAAGCATTTCAGTAGGCTGCCTTCACTTGACAACATGCTTTGTATTAAATAACTGCACGTCCGTGAGTGCTACAATCCCACAAGAAATGATATGCACTTGCATAATAATATATACTAGTTATTAGTTTGCTTCATGCATGAGGCTTTATATTATTTCCTTTTTTGTCAGTTGGAGCCTTGGAGCATGAGACATTATTGAAGGATGCGGATGGAAGAGATCCAGAGGATCTTGTTTTCCAAAGTTACGCAGTATGTATATATAATCAAATTGCAAAACAGTAGAATTCAACACAAAACTAAAATAAAAAAAAGGAAAGAAAAAAAGAAAAAGAGATTAGGTTGTAAAAATTAATTACATTTTCAATATAAAATCAAGTGTACTTATTACTTAATGGAGTGGATTTGTGACGTAATTGTTTTTACACAACTTTGACACAAATTTTATGCGACCTACTCTGTAATGTATTTTGACGATCTGAACCGTCTATCTTTAAGAACATCATTCATAGATCATCTTTGCGAAAAATTAGAAAAATCTAAAATCATTAAGATATTTATTGATAATGAATATGGTTCTACAAAAAACTCTAAACCCTTAATCCAATAGCCATATGATTTTAGATTTGGATGATTTTTGAGACGTGATCTTTGAGATAAGACATAAAAGATAGACGGTTGAAATAAATTACGAATAAATTATGGTTTTGAGTATAAGCACACAATTTTTTTAGGAAAACAAAAATCGACAAAGGATCCAAAATATTTGAAAGTGGTAAGAATATCTCACTGTGAGTTGCGCTTTGATTTCTTCACTAGATAGTAAAGATGTCCATTTGCATCTTTGGGTGGAATTATTTTTCCATTTTTATAATGTATTTCCACGCACCCTCCAGCAAATTATCAATCTTATATCTAAACCCAACCTAATAAACTTCAACAAAACTTCCCCAGAATCCACAATTTATCCCGTACGTCAAGCTCAAAAATCTATAGCAGGCAGGGCTTACAAATCCATGAAGGTCAAATATTTGATTGAAATACTGAAATATCAAATAACCTGGTTGGCGATTTTGATGGATATTTTGGCTTAAAATATAACTTAGCTGTTTTGCATCGTTGGATGGATTTAATGATCCATCCCAGAAAGATTTTCATGTAGTTGTAACTGGTCAGAGAGTTTATGAAACATCATTGCCTTCTGCGTGAAATATTATATAACACAAAATTAAAGGATAACTCACACACATAAGAAGCTTCTATAATTTGTCTAACAAAGTTTAGTTTATCCTAAATAAGCTAAACATATTTAGAACAAAATGAAAAAAGAAAAAAAAAAAGTTTGGGCAACTCAGCTGGAAAAGGTATAAACAACTAGCATGTATATTTTATGTACGGCCATCATTCAAAATAGGAAACTGTTATTAGCGCAGAAAAAAAATTTCATATTGCCAATAATGATTCTTCTAAAATATAAGAAAAAAACTACAAGGTCCACAACCCTGTTATAAATAAATACACTTACCTTCTTGAAGTAAACCACACCACCCTCAAACCAAACCTACAACAAAAAGAAAGCCTCTACTTCCCATTCTCAATCTAAACCAGTTCCAGAACCATTACAACAATGACAACCGGAACCGAAGATTCTTGCCGGAAGCGAAATAGGCGCTTGATGTGCATAGCCGCCGGATCAGATTTGTGTCTTTTAATTTGATCTATCTACTCTGGCATCTCATCTATATTATAAGGACCCTAACAAAATTAAAGAACATACGGTAACCAAAATGGTGTTTAATAACTTTCCTTTTGCTTGTATTCTATGTCGGGGGAAGAGAACCAAACCTAAAACTTCGAATAAGAAAATATACTCATGAACAATTTAAACTACAATTAAAAAAAAAAAAAACAATAAAACCGCTTAAACTACAAGATTCTTGCTCTCTCTTATGCTTATATAGAGTAATGACAAGTAAGTTCTAAGGTACGAAAACTGTAATGTACAAAGGGATCCAATAGTGGAAGCCCAAAAACAAAAACCTTTGATGAGGTAATCAGAATTATAAGTCCATTTTCCAAATGGTTAGAATAGTAATTGCATTCACTCAAGTCTGATGAGACGAGAATGCCATGGGCCTAAAAATCAAAGTCCAGCACATGCACATGCCAAATCATATATATGCAGATTTCATTCTCTGTATATAAGCATTGGTCGACCCACAAACAAGACACCGCAGAAGACAGCACATTATGCCGAGAGTTTTTCAGTGAAACAACACGGTCTTGTATTCTAAGTATCATAATACAAGTGTTTAAATACTTAAAAAATCACTTCTAATTATTTGTATTATGACACTTGGAATACCGGGCCCTATTCCCGATACACTAGAAAATGGATAATGCTTGGAAACAAAATTTTAGAAACTAAAGAACATAGAAGTTAATGATTGATTTATTACTTAAGCATTGATAAACGTGTTCAATCTTACTGGTAACACATAATTTAGTTTACAAATTTTGTTTCTAAATTTAGTCTCCCTAACATTACCCGAGAAAAATTTCTCTTTGATGCCCCCCTTGTCAGTTGTGTTGAGAATTCATGGAATTATGCGAGGTCATACATTTGCTTTAATATTTTTATCCATATTTTGCAGTTTATACAAGCGAAGAATAAACCCTAATCTCCCCAAGCTAGCGCCCCCTCACCCCCAACGTCCTTCCAATTTTTTTTTGCTCTTTATTTGGATTAATTTGGACCTTCTTCTTGATACGCATCTTTAATTTGACGATTTATTTATGGCATTATTGGTTTAGGAGTTAAGAAAGTCTGTCAATGTCAATTAAGTAGCAGGATTATCATTAATCATATATTTTGCCAGAATGCAAAAGCACATGGGCATCTTCAAGTTCAACCAAGAAGGCATCAGATTGGGAGAAGTGTTCGCTTCGACAACGACGACAAGTACAGTTGGACTGGACAAGACAAGAAAATTGGATTAAGATACAAGTTGGGAGCTAGGATCACCTCAAAAGAGAAGAATAGAAAAAGAAAAAAACAGCCCATGAAGGCTTTTGTAACAAAACAAAAAGTATGTGTAAAAAACTGAACCTGGTTTGTGACTGATCCAAACTTGATTTACCTCAAAATTTCTAATTCAAGAAGAAAACTTTTTGGGGATTCTCAAGTTATATATGTTACATCTTAATGTTAAGATTTGTTTGAAAATATTTTAACATAATTGAAATTGTTTTCAAATCACAAAAAAATGCTTATGATAATGTTTGACAAAAAAAAGTTAAAAGTGTTTCGCTTGAAGTGCTTTACACTTCAAATTAATACTTTTTCAAGAAACACTTACGTTTATATTAAAATTTCAATATGTTTGTCATAGAAGCATTTATGACCGTCCTACATTATCTGTGTTTTTCTTTGTAATTTGGAGGATTAATTAAATTATATAGAGTTAAAACTTCATGGAAGATAACTCAGAAATGCACTTCATTGACCTTTAACATATTCATTCAACAATAATCATATAAAAATATCAAACAATAATTATAATATTCGGCATAATTGAAAAGATCAATCACGAACACGTCTTGGATTTCTTTCTCTGTATTTGCAAAAATTCATCAACATTTATTCACACGTCTTGGATCTCAAGAAACAAAGAGCCGATGGTGGTAGATTCTATATTGTGTAAAAATTAGCAAATATCTGCGTGCAATTCACTGTTATAAGAATATTGTTCCCCAGATACTTTATTTATATCATGAAGCTTAGCATCGAATATTACGTTCATGGTAGGGACCAATTCGCCGCCGTAGAAGACCAGCCACCAAAGGCCGATTGATTAAGTCAAATAATCCCAATTAATGTGATAACGATTGAAAATGACTGAAAATAACAACTAGGCTTTAGTATTTTACAATTTAAATTGTTAAAATATATTAAGTAAATCTTATAAAAATATGTGTAAAAAATTATGTAAAAAATAATAATATCATGGATCTGTTCCCAATGTACGTTATGATAATATTTGATATATGCTACCTTGGTGCGCCTGGAAATTGTGTCCTTGTTCGGATATTATAATTAGTTAGCTAGACGGGCCAGGGTGGTACTCTACTATACAAAGTTTCCTGAATTAAATACTGCCTAGTTGACGATTTTTGATGGACATTTTGGCTTTAAAAAAGAGAACCGAGTTGTTTTGCATCGTTGGATGAATTTAATCCATCCTAGAAGGATCTTCATGTATTTGTAACTTGTAAGAGAGTTTATATCAAACATGAGTTTTATTCATGATATATAAATGAGTTTTAAATTTAATCACTTAGTCCATCTAATTTCGTATTACTTCATCAACATCGGCTCGTTGAAATTTGATATAAAGTAAATCTATAACGAGTTCCCTGATAAAAATGTAAATCACTTTGGCCTCTAAACATATAATAGGACCTTTTTGTTTTCCCAGTATCACGGGAAGCTTGTCATCCCTTCAAACTGCGAATATTTCAAACTTGAGCCAAGCAATTTCGTCCTAGTAATACCTGATGCATTATGCCTTCTACGTGAAGTATTACAGATTCACAAAATGTGACATTTCAAACTCATTTATCTGATTCTCTGTCTCACTTTGAGCTCAACACACAGTGTCATTTGACTTAGTTGCCCAATAGG